CATAATTACCTATAGAAGCCGCGACAATGTGATCAACTGATCAACTGTTTATCTTGAGATATCTTGGGTGTTTTCCTGGGTTGACTGAGAGAGAAATCTGGCCAAACAGACCGCCCGGCTCCGAAGCTTACGCCGTGTTGGTGCCAAGCAATTCCTTCCACCGTCGTAGCGCATCGGCGAAGCCAAGTTTCTCCTTGGCTCTGGTTTCGACGGCAGATGGCAGCCATCAGAAACACTCTGATTCAGATGAAATCCCCAAAATGACTTCCCGTCAGACATGTTAGAAGTGATCCAAACAGTATCGATGGACGTATCAAAAAAAAGTTTTTGGACTTAAAAGGATGTGATCATCACCCCTCACCTTTAGACTCACCTTTAGACCTTTCTTTCCTTTCTTCTCCTTCCTCTTCTCCGTGTCGAAATGGATCTCGAATTCGACCTCAGACTCATCTGGCCATCGGGCGGCTGGATGGTTTCCTCGCTTCAGGTCTTCAGACCCCCAAGCTTTGTCAGTCTGGTAGAAGCGGGTTTCCGACGCTCGGAGCGCGGGTCGCCGTTTTGTTTTTTGTGGGTCTTTGTTAGCGAAGGAGAGTTTCTTTTTATTGGGGTTCATGCGTTTTTTTTGTTATGAAGTTATTAAGTATATAATTACAATGAGTATATAGACTATAGGTGTACTGTATATTATACTATACTACAGTTATTTGTCTCCCACTTCCCTCTCCCACTGGTCCGTCTCAAAACAGGACGCGCTTTTCCGCGCAGGACGCTTACATGTCCTGGAAGATCGCCATGACCCTCCTGCAGACCGAGTGCAAGGCCGGGAATGAAGAAGCGAAGATCCGTGGTGGATTGCTGAGGGTATCGGATTCCAGGCGCCCTCACTGGGTTTCCATCCATCCGGATCCGAGACTCCGAGTCTGCAAGTATCCTCGTTTTCCGGGCCGGTCTGGTGGTGCCATGGTCGGTCAGCCCCTTTTGGAATGCCTCGCGCTTTTGCTCCGTCGTGTCCACCATCGCCTTAGGGAGATCTTCCGTTTTGGGGACGAGGAAAGACGAAGGGACGAAGGGAGATCTTCCCGAAGGCGGTTTGGGCGGGTTCGTCCGACGGTTGGAAGATCCGGCCGGCGCAGGAATGTGGCACACTTGCACCTTTGATGGGTCCATTGAACTTCTTTTTATGTATTAGGTGTGTGTATTGCTATGAGGAAATAGTGCGCGCAAGTAAGACTTTTTTTGGCACTTGGGTGTGTAAGAATGGCTTCTAGCAAAGCATATCTTTGGTTGAATGGCACGCAAATTTGATGGATACAGTGAATGGTGCAGGTGGGATGACTGTAATTGTTAGTGGAAGAACAACATCATGAACATGCGCTATTTTAATCAACATAATTACGTGCGCGCCGCCCCTTTTTTCTGCGAATGTGCATTGGGTGCAAAGCAAACGCCGGGACATTGCCAGCGGCGCGCAGAAGTTTCGCGGGTTGGGTTCACGCGCACCACGTCCAGTGCAGTCCTGCTCGTCGAGCGGGAAGGGGGCGGGGCGGACAAATCGAAGAACGAGGCGGAAAGGAGTTCAAGAACGAAGAAACATCGACCAAAGGTAAGGTGCGCGCATTTCCGCGTTTTTTTTTTGAAAAGAGGTAAGGTCATCAAGCAGCAAAGGTTGGATCGACCACTTGGGCAATCCACTGCCCCACTGTTTTTGTCGGATAGCACAGGTTGGATAGAACACTTGGGCAAGCTATTGCTTCTTATCTTCAGGCAGCAAAGGCTTGAAGGTTGAATAGAACACTTGGGCCAACTACTGCTCCATTTTTTTTCCGGACAGCAAAGTTTGAATGGAGAACTTGGGCCAACTACTGCTGATAAGCTTCAGAATGAAGTGAAACATAATGGTCCCAAAATGGATGCGATCGTTTCGGGGCTTCCATTTCGGGGCAGGCACAGTACTTTGTGGACCAAATGTGCTGTGTGTGCTCTCATGTGTGTGCCTTTGACCTCCAGCCCTAGATCTCTAGATTCCAGACATCTCTCTCGACTTGCTTAGAAATTGCGAACCATCACCACCACCGTCACCACCACCACCGCCACCACCATCTGTGATACCATCATCAAGACTATCACCACCGCCTCCATCACCACCACCACCACCATCACCACCACCATCACCACCACCACCATCACCACCATCACCGCCATGAGCAGCCTCTAAGAGCCACGAAGACTGGCGCGGTTGCATTGTGTGAGTTGAGTTTTTTAAGTTCAGTTGAGCGAGTTGAGTTGAGCGAGTTGAGTTGAAGACGATGTGAGTTGAGATGTGTGAGTTGAGGAGGGAGGAGTTGGAAGGAGGAGGAGGAGGACGAGGAGGAGGTGGAGGAGGAGGAAGGAGGAAGGGAGGGAGGCAGGGAGGGAGGGAGGAAGGAAGGAAGGAAGGAAGGAAAGGAAGCCGGGGTGCCGCAGGAAAAACAAAAGCCCCACACAGAGATGCGGGGAACCATCTCGTTTTGATGGAAGACCAGCTTGTCCACAAAGGAACCTGCGCGACCCCGCGAAGCCGTTTGTCCAAAGACGTCTCGAACAAGAAACAAGAAGCTACTAGGAACAAGTGCATCGCTACTAGTAACAAGTGCCTTACTAGTAGTAACAAGAAGCTAATATAATTAAACTAAATTAGAAAATTGTTACTACTAGTAAGGCACTTGTTACTAGTAGCGATGCACTTGTTCCTAGTAGCTTCTTGTTACTAGTAGTAAGGCATTTGTTACTAGTAGCGATGCACTTAGCTACTAGTAGCTTCTCGTTTCCGAATCATTCGGGGAGGTCCAAGAGGACTGGTTCGTCACCATGGCTGAGATGTATGGCAGCGGCCTCTCAGCAGGACTAGCTGGGAGCTAGGGAGCAGCCTTGGGTGCCGGGTGCCGGAAGAGAGAGGAAGGAACCCACAATTCGTTACAAGATGGGCTACAACTCCAGTTCGTAAGTGGGCTGCTCAAGGTTTTCGCTGCTGCTCACCTTGATCTCCCTCCAGTTTTTGTCTCACTCCCTCTGGCCCATGTGGCCCATGCAAACACCCAGGTTTCGCAAACACCCAGGGCCGTCCTCGCTTCCGAGGGAAAGAGTTCTGGCAGCATGGCCTCACCGTGCCCGAGAGCTGTCACGATTGGTCGATGGCGCAGCACGAATGGCAGCTGAAGCAGGCGAAAATGCAAAGGAAGACGGAAACGAAGACGAAGAGCACCGGGCTTCCCCCCCCCCGGTTGCCACCAATCGGAAGGACCTCGCCGTCGACGGCACTGGTGGGTTGCTTCGCACGCGTTGCTGGTGGGGTGGGGCGAGCGTTTTCGCTGGCGAGTCGATGGGCGAGTCGTGGGCCGCTCACACTTAATTATAGGGGATGCAGCGAGGATGCGGAGGATGCGTTGGAAGGATATCGTGGGAACATGGAAGATGAACCTCCCACATCCAGAGGGACCCACTTTCAGTGTTCACCAGGGCAAAGCAGGAGCTGGTACACACATGAAGTGGTACGAATGGCTTTGTTGAAGCAGCTGTTGATGTGATCGGGACTGGGCAGGAAGCGAAGAAGCAGAAGCTCAGGGACAAGGAGATTGAGAGAAGGAAGAAGGACAGCACACGGATCCCGCACGGTCCCAGTACACTGATGGGAGAGGATGACCCAGACCCAAGGGTGTCCCAACCCTAGGGATCCAGTCGTACCGAACCTCAGAAGGTACGACTGGACCCTCCAAACCTACATAACAGTGTCTCCAATCACCTGCTGAGAAGGTACGACTGGATCCCTAGGGCAAGGGTGTCAGGGTTGAAGTTCTGGAATTTTTTTCGTTGAAACACCACAAAGCTCCTCCTTGCTGCACCTCCCCACGTTGTCGGCAGTTTTTTGGAATTGTGGTGGTTCTCTGAGGGCGCCTTCGTGTGGGATCCACGAGAAGAACAGAATCATGCGCAAACCAAAGTTTGCTGTTATTCTGTTGATTCTTTACTGTTCATTGAACACACAAGGTGAGAGATGGTGAGAGGTTGACCCTTCTTGTCGGGCGTTCATGCCCCGAAGTTTGTCCTGCCCCTAGAACTGGTATGCGGCTCCGCTCCAAATTCAATTCACACCCTCCAGTGTTTTTCTTTTTTCTTGGGGGTAGTCACTAAAAAGTGACATGCTGAGAACAACACCGCGTGGACATCAATCACCGTTCGAGTCGCTGAACTCCGAACCACTCCGAACGCCCACCGCGCATGCACGCCTTCAGGCGGAGACCCGCAAGCGAGCCCTGGAAGCCGACACCTGGACCGACAGACCGAGCGCTTCCGAAAAAGCGGTGCGCCAGGTCGCGTGAGCCCAGTTTGGGTGGTTAGATGGATATGTTCACCCAGTGAACACTGGGTGCTAGGTGGATGCATACAACCTGTTGGTATCCGCTGGCGACATCTTCTACAGGTGAATGTTTTGCGTCAGGGTTTCACAGATTTCACAGGCTCGGCTCGATAGACTGAAGCTTCACAGGCTCTTTCTACCTTGGATCCGAACGCCCGACCACCCGGACGAGACTTCACAGGCTCCGGACCACCCGGACGGACTCGGAGGGGTTGGACATCTGGGGCAGCGGCCCGCGAGATCTGGACGACCTGGAACCCCAGTCCCAACCAGAAAGAAATGGATGTTTCCCCAGTCCCAACCATTTCCTATGTAAAGGATTTCAATTTCCATATTGGAACAACCATGTGTTTCTGGTTGGGACTGGGGTTCCAGGAATGTCTTGGACCATTCTATCAACCAATTCCAGCTCTCCAACTCTGGACTCCGACTCTGGAACAGTAATAGACCATGACTCATGACCCAAACACGAAGGCGATTGGTCCAATTTCTAGAGTATGGTGAGTGGGTGTAGATGTAATATATTTTACACTGCATGAAAGGTCGCCATCCTTTAAATGCTCCAAACCATGAAACCAGAACTAGACTCCACAGCTGCCGCATGCAGGTGCAGCATGCAGTGCAGTTGGAGGTGAAGTCGAGAGCTCAGGAAAATCATGGACCACCAGCAAGTACACTCCTGAAACCTTTGAACCGAGAACCCGAACCCAGCCATGTATTTCCACCCATGTAAGAACCGAGCCATATGGGTGGTTTGTTCATGTTTGTTCAGATGCGACGGTAACGGGGTCGTCATGACGGTCACGTGTTCGAGTCCCATGGTTCGACCAGGGTCGCGACCAGACTGTCTGGTCGAAGGAGACAGTCTGACTGGGCGAAGAAGAAAGCGGTCGAGTTGAGAAGTGGCAGGAAACACAGCTGGAGAAGACTTAGGCTGGGCAGAAGAGCCCGCAGATCCTTCAAAACATTGGATGCCCAACCATCCTGGAGTTTTTTGGAATATGAACCAATTAGTTAATGTGACCAGTTGCCTATGGGCCTTTGGATTTTCTCAAGCAGTATTTTTCCTCACCAGGGTTGCCAAACACCTGCACTCCTTCCCTCATTGCCCCTGACCGAAACACTAAGGAGATACCATGCATGTTGTCAGCTGCTTTCGGACTTCTACTACTCCGCGTTATGTCTGGGTTTGCCGGAGGAGAGCCAGGGCACTCGTGGACAAAACCCGAAACTGTTGAGTTTGGGTTTGTCAATTGTTCTTTGCGGCAATCTGAGATCATGCTGAGATCTGCAGTTCAAAACGGGTCAGGATCGGAAGCTTTGAGAGTTATTGGGTTCAACATGGTTCAACATTTTGTGGAGTTACAAAGCATCACAGACGTGAGAATGAAAACTAGTTTTTTAAGACCACAAGTCTCAGAGGAATCAGAGCCTGTAGACTACGGTGACAGTTGGCAAAACAGATCACCTCGCTTCACCTGTTCCTTCCATTTCTTCAATTCATTCGAATGAGACGCCTTCAAACCCAATCGTATGACTATAGAGGGCTCCAGGGCATCATATATCATCACTACCAGCACCCTCCAACAGGTCACCACCCGCGACTTTTAAGTCTCCAAAAGCCACCATTTCGGAGACCTGTAGAGTCGGGTGCTGGTATAGTTCATCGTATCGCAACATCTTTTGTGTTCCGGTTCCGTTCATCACCTTTCTCTTGCGTACGTCTCGCACCCGTCGGGCCACTCCCTGCTCCCTCATCCACCTCCACCGACCGATCCCAGGAGCACGAGGCCCCGCCGAAGGTGGATATCTTCGCCCCTCCGGAGCGAACCGCCGCACGACCACGCGAGCGAACCACGCCGCGGTCGTGCGCCACGCCGGTTTTCCGGTGGTTTTTTTTCCGGTGTTTTGTTTTTCGGTGCGCGTTCTTGCGACGGTCATTTTTTGGGGCGGCGGTGTATAGGTATTTTGTAGAAATGGGTGGTCCGGGCCCTGAGAGAGCCGGTTTGGCAGGGCCCCGAGTCGAAAGCTCCAAAAAAGCATCCTCGTGAGGCCAACCTAAAGGGATCTAGATTTGTGCATGGAGCCAAAGAATCAAGCACAACACCGGCCGGCCATCCGGTTTAGAACGTCAAACCCGACCGCTTCCCGCTTCGAGGTGATTCGGTCGGACTCTGGGTTTCACCCGGCCAGTTCAAGCGGTTGGGACGGCACTACAGAGGTTGGGATCCAAATACCCATGCTGTCAGCCATGGCGAACTGGCGGGTCACCCTTATAATCCCAAAAATTTTAGGGATCCAAGGACCCAAATCGAAGCCATGGCATTTGGACCAAGCCATGGCGCCTACATCCGTGTTCTTCTCACATCACCGTGTCGTGTTCGACACGCCGCGTGAGACGCCGCCATCGATGCACGTCTCGCATGGCATCGGGTTGACGCGAAGGAACGAGGCACTTGACGCGACGGAAAGACCGGACACCAACCACCGACGGCAGAGAGCCCCCCCTGGACCCGAACCGGAGGCAGGACCAGGACGTCTGAGGTGAAATCTCAGCAATCACCAGGTTTGACCTGGGAAAGGGCTGTTTTTACGGAGCTGTTCGTTCGAGCAAAGAGGAAAGAACAACTCCCAAAGACGAGGAAACACAAGGCAAGCTCCCGCGATCGGCATAGTCTCCTGCCCTTCACGGGCTGTTTTCACATGAGAAGATAGACAGGCTGTTTTCACCCAACTGACTTGATGCCCCGTGTGTTGAGTCCCACCCTGGAGGTGGAAGTACGAAGCAGGGTGGGTCTTCTCACTGTGTGGCTCCAGGGCTGTTCGCTCCATCGGAATCCTCGAGGGTCAACGGATGACGCGGATAAAGAACAAAACACCAGTTGATCAGTTTGATCAACGAACAAAACACCGGTTAACGGACGGATTTGGTCCCTTTTGAGTGACCTTTTTTGTGAACCAGTTGGACTCTTGCAGCCGGCCATGAAAGGGCCCTGTCCTGCACGTTTCGAACGCCTGGTCGTTCGGAAAAGGCACCGACGCGACGTCCGCGCAAGCGAATGGCGTCGTCGCAGGAGCCGGAAGAAGTTCCGGATCCCAAGAAAAAGGCGACGCGTTTGTTCCGTGTCGGTTCCACCCAACGCGGGGTGGAGGAGCGGAGGTTTATTCAGGTAGTCCCACAGCTGGTCGCTCGTTTTGTGAGGTTGGTTTTGGAAGGTGACCAGCAATTGTATTTGTTGGATGTCGGTTCGGTGGTTTTTGGCTTCATCCGCGGTGCTGTTCTTTTTGGGAAAAGGCCAGAAAGTATGGTAACCTCAAAGGTTTTCCAAGAAAAGTCTCATGGAGAATGTTCGTTACACAAAGCTTTTGCGCTCAGGGGATTCGCACCTATGGTTTAATGATGGTTCAATTTTTGTAGTGCTTGTTGTGTGGTAGGAAAGAGTGCACGACTACTGCCACTGCCTATTTGTTGGTTCCTATAAGGCTTAGGAAGATCACCTGGTATAACAACCTCAAGTCGAGTCTTGATAGGAGTCTGGTTGCCCCCCGGGCCGCTCTTCCTTGGTAGGCCCAAATCCCGGCGATTCTCAGACTAATCCAGACTTCCACCATGAAAGCATCCTCGTTTCGTTTTCGGACATGTGTTCGACTTTTCTGTCGGCACCTCAGTGACCTTGCGGAGATCCGACCTTGCCCCACCCCCAAGGGTTCAGCAGTGCATCGAAAAACCGCAGTGCACTTCGACGATTTTGGGTGACCACCAAAGGGAAATTCCTCGAAACCGTTTCTCCCTGGTAGGTTGACCATTTCTAGTAGTCACTTAGTCTATTCTATTCCGTTCATGTTCGGGAAAACACCCTTGACGGTCTCCCCGTTTGGACCACTTCGCCAAGATGTCCAGCCGTTTGCCCCTTCCCAACACCACTAGGTGCACCGGTCGCAGACGGCTGTTCGCACGCACGGCGTTCCTTCCCTCGGCGTTCTTCGTCACGCAACACCAACGGCCAGAAAGATGACAAGAAGAAGAAGCCGGGGGATGCACCAGAGGACTGGACGATAGCGCTTCTCTCTGTTTGGAGCGAGAGAGATGCGCATACGGCATACTTGTGGTACTTCTTTTTTCAGCCCCAAATGGATGGACTATGGACGATTGCAATTGGAAATGGTTGCCTAGAACTCAGACATGACAGTTGTTTTGATATGAACATACCATAGTTTGGGATAGTTTGGGTGGTTGATCGTCAACAATAGAGGTCACTCAGGACTCAGGTTCTAGGTATTTAGTGGTGTTATTGGTGATCAGTGATTATATAGTGACTATTAGTGATTAGTAATTGGGGCGGCCCAGACAATCATCTCAGCTGGACTGGTCCTCACGCAGCACTTTGTAGGCGGAAGATGACGACTTCCTCTACCACTCCACATCACTCTACCTGTTCAACCCCGCAGACACCACAGAACAATCGGATTGCAACGCCTGCTTCATCTTCAAATGGTTGACTTCCACGAGCAGCACCCGAGCCCTTTGTTAGGGCCAATCAATACGCAGCACCCGGCGCAGCACATCGCAGCAGTGGGGACCAGAAGTACTTCGATGGCACTGGCACCACTAACTTGGACGCCCTGAACTTGGACATGGCTGACAAAAGCCCCTACTTCTTCAAACATTCTTACCATGGCACTCATGAGAACTTACCCATACACTGTACACTGCCAGGTACTTATGCCATATTTGCCGTACATTCTTTGCCAGGTGGTTTTGAGGGTCCATGAAGTAGGCATTCTTTTCCACACATGGAGTGTTTGGGATTGGACCCTCGATCCCGTCATGGGCTTCAGGTGGTGGTGGTGAGCCACAGGCGCGGTTTCTTCAACGCCCCGTCCTGCTGGGCGCCTCAGGAGCCGGAGATCAGTCCGGAGGAGAAGGCTCGGGTCGGAATCGATGCTGGACTCGGGGATGGGTGTGGGGAGGGGGGAGGAGGGGGGGGGCGGCGGGTAGGGTGGTTCAGCTCGGTGGTTCTTTTTCTGGTGCTTCAAGTGCTTCAGCCTAGCTTGGTTTGATGGCGATCAGTGATCAGCAAGTTTTTTGTTTTGTTTTTCGATACCCGCCACCTTCAAAGGTGCCCCAAAGTTTCTGGCCCTTTGGGCTTTATACCTATATATGATCAGAGGTTCGAGCAACATACATACCCATTGAGCTTGGATTTTTTGGGGGATGAGAGAACCGCGCGCTGGAGGGGTGACAGGCCTTCAGTGGTAGGCTTGAAAAGGACACCTGTCAAGGGTACTTCTTGAAGAGCTACCCAATGGAACACTGCGAGCGTTTTTGACCCATCGAACGTGTGCAAATACCTTGGTTTGGACCTTACTCATCTTTTTCTGTGTGTATTGAGCGGCACTGCGGGGCCATAGCTCTTTTTTTTGTATGTGGTTGGTGATGTGCAGGGCGGGGGACGGGAGTAGAGGGGACAAAGCAGTTCAATCGATACAAGATATGGTTTGCCCAAGGGAGCATTCTTTTTCAATTCGGCCTCTTTGAGGGCTCTTCACCCAGACTTCAGTGGCCTCACCAGCTGGCTGTGTTTCTTTGATAGGGAGACACCCAAACAATGGGTGGACTGGTCTATATTCCTTCTTCCAGGGTGTTCTTTGAGAGGTTTCCCTATTTCAATACACGCCCCGCTCATCTTCTGCTGATTCCGCGGCGGCTGCGTCGGTGGAAAAGGCCCCGCTCATCACGGCACTTCGTCGCGCCAAAGTCACTCGCGCGCGCGCGCGGCCCAGCGACCACGCAGGCGGCAGCACGGCTTTGCAAGTACATTCCAGACGAGGAGTCGTGCATTCCTCAGATCTGCAGATGAGACAGCAGAGATGGTGGAGACTCATCTCCACCTGCAGAGAGGGGATGTTGCTAAGGCAGACATCAACTGCGCAGAGTGGGCAGAATGGCAAATCCTACAGAATGGATAGAAGACTAAGACTGCTAAGGTCATCTATAGGAAGACTCAGGCAAAAACCCGTGCGGAGACCCATGAGACCATGAGACCCACGGCGCCGGTCCGCCAGACGTCGCCGGAAGTCTCGGACGGTCCGATGCCTTGGGTTGGTGGGGTCTGTGCGAACTGAAACCCGAGGAGCTAGCCGTCAGTCGTCAGTCAACGATGAGTCATGTGGACAACCCCCTGCAACTAACATGGTGGTTACGTGGACAATCCCCCTGTTTGTAGAGGATTTCATGGTCTTCCAAGGGGTGATTCTTCACTTTTTTTGAATATTTGTCAACAAGGCCTGCAACCTAACCATCATCATCCACTGTTACAGGATAGACCATGATAGACCCAACCTATGCCTGTATAGCCCAGATGATTTGATTTACCCTTTCCTGACATACATTTCCTCCGTTTGACTTTAATAAGTGGAAGGATGAATGCTCATTTGGGGGGCTCCGGCATCAAACACATGGTGAATTTGGAGGAGAAATAGCCATGAACCGCCCCCAAACCACTAAAAAAACACGCCCACACCTGCCATGCCACCCAGCCCGCCGCGGTCCTCGCGTCCTCCAGGGGCGGCGAGGGCCGCTGGGAATTCCCTTTCCTCGCGGAGCGGCGGGCGTCCGCGGAACCCGCGCGCGGTGGCCGCGGAACGGTACCCGGGCCGGGTGGATGTCGTTCACCCATGTGGTGGTACATCTGGTCGTCCAGTGCCACGGAAACGAAGGGACCTTTTGATGAGGTTTGTAAGTAGAGGGGTGAAAGAAAACGGCATAGTTAATCTGTTAATCTGTCATGAGTCATGCATGTCAGTGCTTAACCATGTTGTTAAGAGCTCCAGTTAGCTTTCAACAATTAGAAGACAAAGGAGTTGGTTTTCGCAACTTTCTTGGTGTTTGACCTCTAAGTAGGGCTTGGACAAGTTGTCTTTCATTCCAGGCGTTGGGTTGTAGACATCTTGTAGCAGTACTATCGTAGTTGCTTGACGCTACTTCTTCAATTCATCTCCTCACACGATGAAGTCTGTATAGTGTGAAAACACAGATGTGTGAACATATTCTCCAGCCCACGAATTGTGTCCACTAACATCCACTAACAAAAAACACGATTCACTTCTCCAGCCGACAATATTCACTTCATCTCTCCACTAACTTACAGCCCCGTGAATATGTTCTCCGGCCGCCCATGATCCGGCGCCTCCAACTGCTTCCTTCGGCGGCCCGACTGTCATATCCCGGGACCCTTGCGGTCGACCCGACTGACAATCTGGAAGATCGGAATCGGATCGGATCATGAGCACAGGCAGAAAGCAGAAAGAAACCACAGAATGTTGGTACTCAATCAGTTTTTTTTCTTCCGTATTTTTTTGGCCTACTATTCGCACCAATAAGCTAAGTCAAACTGTGTAGCACACAGAACGGGAAACGGATGCCTACAATCGCTTGTCGTTGATCATGAATCCATTCAAAGCGAAGAAATAGTCCCTCGGTCGGTCAAAGACTACTGGAGTTGTATCGATGCAAAAAAAACCACACTCAATGAGGTACAGGACCGGACCCAGACTGTTCAAGACTCTTTCTTTAACATCTGTTCCGCTTCGTCGTGAAACGAACGAGAAACGAGCGCGCGTCGTTTGAGGAGTTGATGGAACAAGCCAGCAAAGCGGTGTGGAAGCGGGGAGACTCAACGCTACTGTCGGTTGGAGGTTCCCTCGCTCGGTCGGGAAGTGGTCGCTACTCAAATGGTCGGCCGGGTGGGCGCGGGTGGGATGGGCGAGGTCGGGGAAGCCTAGTCTCTGTGGGTTCGGATCGAAAAGGAATGACTCAGACTGTTGTAGCTGCTTGGCTTAGCACAAGGCCTTGGGTTTTTTGCTGGAATTCTGGGTTCGGTCTCAGGAGTCTCAGGAAGCCACAGAGTTCGAACAAGCTACAGCTCCAGGTGACATCGGATACACTCCACGAAGATGAGCTGGTGTAAATATTCAAAGACGGCACAAAACAAACATGATTCTGTGTTCTTCTACAAGCAGAACCCAGCCTATATAGATGAGAGTCTCCGCACAAGTGACTGGTTGCCCAATTCGGACAGGTCAACGCCAAACATGAACTTGAACTTGGTTTGTGCCCCGCCAAATCCATCACCACTGTTCTGCTTCCTTGCCTACTGCACTTTAGCCAGGTGGGTGGTAGGGAAAGTTGTTTTCCAGTCCATTGAACAAAAGAACGAAGATCTGTTGGAAACGGTTGGATGTGCCCACCCGCAGTGCTATTTGATCCAAAACCTTGAACTGCTCACCTCGCGACCCCCCTGACCCGCTCTATGAAGCTCTGCTCAGTGCCTTGGATGCACTGCTTCCCAGAGCGCTCTGCCACTTGGCCACCGAAATCGTCGATGTCGTGAAACTAGGGGGTCGGAAGCTCTGGAAGATCTCCCATGTCTTGAGCTACACACCCATTGAAGCATGAAGCTTGGATGAATCAATCTTTGCCTTTCCCGACTATGGAAGCCATTTTTCTTGCGCAGGTTCTCCTGTTGCTGCTTGCGATGCCAGTGGACGTGCGGAACCCAGTCACACTCAGCGTTTCAAAGGGTTTTGGGGCGCAGTTGCAGCATGTTGCAGCGCTCAGGCCACAGCAGCTTGCACTTCCGCGACAGACAGCGAAGAGAGGACCGCCCTCCTGCAGAAGCCGGGACACGATCATGGAGCCGATGTCGATGACGAGTTGGATGACGAGTTTGATCACGATGACGCAGCGCTAACAGATGGCGTTTGCTTCCAAAGCCCTTGTCCGCGCCGCCGGCGAGATGGAAATTGCAACCACTATGGCTATTGCGATGATTGCAGCCGCCGACGACGGATGGGCACATGTCACACTCGCCGCCGGCGGTAGACCACTAACGCATGGGCACTTGTCAGTAGAAGACTTGCAACGGGGTGCTCGGGATTTTTGTCTAATTAAGGTATCACAGTAGGTATAATGACCCAGGCGGCAACTTGGAGCTCCGAGTAGTCTTGGAAGTGGCTTATCACCCTAATGGCAATCATCACTCTCCTTTGGTAGACATGTTTTGTTTAGAAGCTGTGCCTGAGTTGCTGTGATATGAAATTCTGATATATAGCCTGCGCCCTTTTCCTGTGGCGAGCAAGTATAGAAATTGATATCAGATTATTAGGAGAGTCTCTCCAGATCTCTCCAGGCTGCTGCGGTCAAAAAGAGTCGCCTGATGAAGCCGGATGTAGCCGGATGAACTATCTCTGCGCATGGCACTTCGGCAACATTCTAACTACACCAAGATGAATTGACCCCCCCCCGAAGACTCATAACATGAAGAGAATGGTTTCCCTGACCACATGTTTGGAATGCTGTGGTTGCTTGCTTGCGCCAAATACGCCTGAAAAGGGGGTTCAGGGGAGAACCCTGACCCCCGCCCTTCAACCGGTTGGGGAGTCCGGGTCCACAGCATCGAAGATCCAGACCGCTCCCGGTTCACAACACGACCGGTCGACCAGGGGTGATGAGATGGGAAGAGTAAGTTGTTGATGGACATGACACTATTGGAGGCCATCGCTCGTGGGTTGGAGGCCAATACTATAATTACTAGTAACAAGAAGCCACTATACCAGCACCACCCGTTTCGGGTGGTTTCTATTTTCCATCTAACAACCACCCTTTGGGTGGTGCTGATATATAGTAGCGTAGCAAGAGAAGCTAGCAGCTAGAAGCTTTGAACGTCGTGGAGGATGTGTGCAGCCACTCTGTAGCCGGAGCCTTCAAGGGGGTGCTGAGTGCTTTTCCCCGACGAGGAAAGGTCTTGGGAGGATTGCTTGATATTACTTGGGTGGTTCTCTTCCACTTCGAAAGCAGACAGTACCCAAATCTCATCGTCGACCCCTCTTATCCGAGGACGGCCGTGTGGACCGGGCCGATGTAGAAACACACATCCGGGTTCATCAGCGTCTTCATCCCACAGCCGATGTGGGACATGTGACTGGGGGTTGGGGGGTGGTTTGAGACTGACGAATATATGTTCAACCTTTCACCTGGCATTTGGGATGATTGACTGACGAATATATGTTTCGTTCGGGCTCTTTCGTTGAAACTACCGCACCGACGCAGTGTTCGTTCGGGCAGCCGAGCCGCCTTGCCTCGGGTTCCGCTTCGGAAAGAACGCCGAGGGACGGCAGTGGTCAACGCCTTAGGTTCTGATGCAACCGAATAATTTGTGGATCACCTGGTTCATGCTTCTTGGTAGCTTCTTGTTCCATCTTGTTCCTATAGTTTGAAGCCACCGAGGTTGGAGGATTTCACGCCACCATCCATCGAGGCGCGCAGACTTGTGAACGACTCCAGCCGGGAGGGAAAGGGCGAAGGACAGAAAGGACAGAAAGGTGGTGATGAACATGAGCGTTTTTGTTGATCCTTTTTGGAAGATGAAGAAGGCCCTTAAGTTGGTTCCATGTTTCAACGTTGGTGTTCTGACAGTTAAAGAAATGGTTCCCTAGAAGGCATGCAAGTGTTGGTTCCTTTTAAAGAAGGCACTTGTTGGTTTGGCCATCTTTGGAAGGCCGATTTCATTTGCCTTGCCTGTCTGCCTGACATCGTCGACGTCGTGTCGTTTCCGCGAGTCAGCTGCTTGAGCGAGTTGAAGTGACACCTCTTGGCATCCAAAGGCATGGCCGTGACATTGACTTACTAGTAACAAGTGCATTGCTACTAGTAACACATGCGTTACAACTATAGTAACAAGAAGTTAGTAGCAGCGACTTAGCTACTAGTAGCTTCTTGTTACTAGTTGTGATGCTCTTGTTACTAGCAGCGATGCACTTGGCATCCAAAGAAGCGGAGAGACCGGTACTCCTGGCACTCCTGGTGCTCGATTGGCTTGCAGAGTGTTGCGGAGTCATCAGCCACACCAGTGGAATATCTTGAAACATTTGTGGATGACTCTCCGGCTGGTTTGCTGAACCTCTTCGAATCCGAACATTCAGGTCAACAGACAGGACTTCGTGAAGGTGGACAGCTGTCCGACAGCAGCCTCCGGTGGGTACTAGCATTGTCCCAGTGCTGGACTTCGCTACAGGGCAGGTGAACAGAGTTCGGCTTCAGCGAAGGGAGATGATCAGCATCCCCATATCGCGAGGTGCGATTTCTGCATGGAGAGCAGATGAAAGTAGCCGGGAGAAGCGAGCACCAAGCCATCGAAAGTCCTCTTTTTCTCCCGACAGCGGACCAAGCTACACCAAACCTCAGCTGCGATCTAAGAAAGCGAGGGCTTCGATCTCAACCGCACGTGAACGGGTCAACGAGCACGACTGCTCCCGTTGGCGGCCAGTCATTCTTGTAAGGTGCCAGGAGTAGCTGCACGGGGTGTCCTTGTGGAACAGAGAGCATTGGAGGATGATCCCCGGAATACAATGAGATAGTCTTCCAAGAGTTGTTAAACTGATACTTGTAGGATCATATACTAACTTGTCAGAAGAGTAGCCTATATTCTACAATTCTTAAATGATGTAATGATGTAAGAATTCTAAGCATTTCCAATGCTTCCCCTCGAGTTTTTTTGCTAGCTCTCTCAAAGTGTAGGGCCTCGACCTCCAAGAGTGTAGAGGTCTCCATGTTCTACACTGGCTCGCTCCCCATGCCATGGTCGCCGGTGTGTCGCTCCTCATGCCAGGCATGGACATGGCTTTTCCGGTTCCCCCATGTCTGGAGTGAGATCCTTTCCTCCAGTTCTCTGGGTCTTTCTCGAAGAAGCGACCGAAGACGCGGGCGAGGGCGATGACCAAGCGATGGCAGGTGCCAGAGGAAGAGGAGAAGGAAGATCCCAAGGCGAAAGCCAAGGTGGGATCGGATGTGGGGTCAAATCCATGGAATTGGTCAGAGTGAAAGCAGGACGTATGCAGTCAATTCAGGGTTTGATCTCTCAAGGATTGTAGTCCTTTGATCTGGTGACAGTTTCTCGTGTAGGAAGGTGTGTCCCTATTCCCAACAGAGGCAGATGCTTAGACCTGACTGCTCCAACATGAATTCTTTTGTCGTTCCGTCCACGGGGAAATGATGACACACCCCATGGATGGGGAAGGATGTCTTCACGTGAGGGAAGGATGAGGGCCTTCCATGGTCGGTCCGGGTGCTGAAATCCCATGGTGAGCTGGCAATGAGATGCGAACGATGCTTGACATCTTGACGCTTCTTGACAGCACCCCCCCCACCTAGTAGAGCCTTGTTTCGTTTTTTTCCGTTTCGGCCTCATTGGGGCCGAATGTGTGTTGAAGAGGGCCCTGCCCGTGTCAGGGAGCGATTCGCTGAATCCGTCGAGCTGATCTCAGAGATCTGCGGATCCGTTTCTTTCTGTGGTGAGAATGGATCACATGCATATATAAGCTGCATATACCCGAAGATTCCAATTATAGTCGTTTTTTTTTTTCCGCAACGTCCTTCGACATCCTTCGACCCTCAGGGTGTATGTGAGGATGTCCAATGGAATCGAAGATCCTGGCGCTTAGATCTGCTTTGCTCCAGGCCAAGGGGAAGGCCAAAGCCAAAGAGAAGCCGAAGAAGGAGGAAGAGGTTGGGAACCTTGGAAGGGCTCGGCGGATCTTTCTTGTTTGGTTCGTTTTCTTGGGAGGACATTCGTTGGAGGCGACCGTCTCGTAATGTTCCTTTGAGACCTATCCCAGAGTTTTGGGGTGCAGGACATGGATCGGAGGAGCCGTTGGTTGGAAAGAGCGGTGATTTCGATTGCCGTGCCACCCATGGACTTAAGTCCTTTCTACCCCAGGCCGCCGAGAGTTGAGACTTTCATCGTTGATTTGACTGCTTTCTCAGAAGGTTGCGAGTACCCACACGCGACTGGGGACCGGGCCCCAAATCCTTTGACGAAGTCTGGAGTCACTGGAGTTGAACCAATCCCAGGGTTTTAGGAGACCTGTCGGGCTGTTTTCACGGAGCGTTTGAGTATACCAGGAGTCACAAAGGGGTGTCCAATGAAGTACCCCACACTACCTATAGACTTCCATTGAGCACCCCTTTGTGACTCCTGGTATAATGAAATCCATATTGAACCATTGAAGATCCCAACTTCCAATCACTGCCAATCACTGCCAGCACAAGGGTGTCCGAGGTTTTGGTGCATGTTTGTATTCGGGCTACTACATCTTCACCACAATTTGCTTTGGGGGCAGTGCTTAAATATGGTTGGGTCAAGCCCTCCTTTTGGCCCATCTCCCTCTTTGGCACCAGGCAGAGAAGCCCCCCCCCGCAGCCGGCGCCCGCCCTCTTCGTGGACTTGCAGCAGGCTGGCATGCGCATGCGTCAAAAAGAAGGTTGAAAACATCTTGAACACATGTTACAACACTCAGATGTCCAGAGAATGTTCTAATGATTCTATACCCTCCCTCCAACAATCATGGAAGTGGACGTCCTGGCCTCCTGGAACATATTTTTCCCCTCTACAAACAGGGGGATTTTCCACTTCCATGTTGGTTTCAGGGAGTGTAGTTTGTTTGTATTTGAAGGCTGCCCCCCGGCACCAGCCGCTCAGGGCCCACCCCACCACGATGTCCTGTGGACCAAGTGTTTGGTTTCTGTATACTGAGTGGTGTTCCTTGGTCCGGGGCTGTACTTCTGTGTTGCTTTGGAGCCATTTAGCCACGTTGGGGCTCTGTCGGCGTCGGTTTTCACCGGGTTTTCACAGGCGCTGCTGGCGGAGCGCGTGACCTTCCGGCAGCGGCTGCAGATGATTCAGGGCTGGGCCATCCGACGGCTGCACCAGGCGTGGGCGGGGCCACGCGCGCGGCGCCTGTGCTGTGACCTCCGCGACCGTGCCGTGCCGTGAACGCTGGGCTGCCGGGAGGAAGGTGGTCCGGACGTCGGTCCGACGTTCGAAGCGGAACTCCGACGGCGACGTTCGAGTTCACCGCCCCGACGTCTCCAAGAACAGCCCGAGACCAGTCATTGGATCCGGAGGTCGACACCTTCACCCCCGGCCGTCTCATCAGCGGACCGTTCGCTTGGTGGAAGGGGATCCTGCTAAAGAGGGCGCCCGACCTCCGGGCGCTTTACGCTGCGGCCCTGGATGCCGCAGCGTTCGTTGGGCGTTGGGCGTTCGACTTGGTGAGATCTTCCATTCAGTGTGGGGTCCAACTGTTTTTGTTGCTTGGCATACCCCGTTGAACTTTCCCAACGCCGTCTTTCTCTTTCTACATCTCCTTCACCATCCTTGGCCATTCCCAAAAGCTGGCACGAAACGTGGTGTACCCTGCTGGAGGGCGATCCTATGGACCCGGAGAATTGACCTGTAGTGGAAAACGGTTACCGTTTTGGAGGTGCATGTTCATCAGGGGCTGACCCATTCGATGCGGCGCCCTTACTGCGGCGCCCTGCAGTGGTCCATGATTCACAAGATTTTTGGCCCGCCCGCACGCTTGCATGTGCGAGGCTGCGAGCTCCACGAAGAGCACCTTCCGTGACTTGAACGACTGGATCTTGCTGCGGAGGTGCCGAAGACAGCGGTGACATGAAGGCAGAGGTTTTTAAACAAAATTGACTATGGCACTATGGACTTGGTCGTGGAGAGCTATAGATGTCCTACATTGATCTACTACGATGACGTGTCATTCATAGATTGAACACATGAAATCACACTATATTTTGGCCAACCGGTCCGACTCTATGGAATGTTTTAGCGCGTTAGCTCAAGATCCTAGCACAAGGAGTTTGTTTGTCCTGTTCTTTTGGACATTGCCATTCAAGGAAGCTCAGAAATTGAGACTGCCATATATGCCTACATTGACCCCCGAAACCACCCCAACTGATCGGCATATATGGCAGTCCCATTAGTCGTGTCCCATTTGAGTCGAAAAAAAAAAAAAAACCGGGAATATGTATTAAGTAAGGAATGTTCCCAGAGGTTCAGAAATCGCTTGGCCACCGCTTGGTATTCTGGTGTTTAAAGTGGGTATGTTACCTCGTCGCGCTAGCAAAACGCAGGGTTACGCTAGGTTCGCGCTAGGTTTGGCGCTAGGATCAAGTACTTAGTAAGTAACTTAGAAAAGATTAACAAACAAGAGCTGATTGTAACGGTCACTCACTGGTGCACATACACACGCACACACCCGCACAGGCACAAGAGCAGCAACTGTTTGAAAGGCAGCGCGCGCTGGAAAAGGCAGCAGCTGTTTGAAAGGGAGTAACTGTTTGAGAGACGAGAAAGCGAGTTCTTGATCACAGACGTTTGGTGGCCTCATGCACTGGCAGGGAAGCGCGCTAGATCCGCGCTACCAGAGGAAACAAACTGCCGCTGGACCAGTGGAAGGAAGCCTTCTGTGAAGTGCTCCCGAAACCCATGGCCCACCCCATTGCCTTTGATTTGGGAGCGAGACTTGAAGACCCCCTCAACCTGTGCGTGTTCGGCTTGGAGAAGGGCAGGGCAACTTTGGATCTTTTTGGCCGCAGGGTTCAAGCCTACATCCACCCACTCGTTTGTGGGATGTGGGAGGTTGACGACTCCATGATTTGTGGCCGAAGTGGCTCAGAGCTGGGGAAATTTGTGCAGGGCTACTCACCCATCAGCCATTTCATCAAGGCCAATGGTGAATACACTTTGGCCCCCCTACCACGATGAAACAGTTGAGAACCAGGAAGCCTGGTTTGGTGCGTCTGCAATTTAGGGAAGGTCACAGGAACCAGGGTTGAAGTCAGGGCTGGGGAGGAAGGTGGCACAGTGGAGGACGCCATCGCCCAGTGTGGTGACATTTTGGAAGAACTGTGCGATTTTGCAGCCCATCTTGACACACCGCTTGCCTTCAAACAGATTCCTGTTGCCTTCTACAAGGAATTCTTGAAAGCCGAGCTGAGGGGCGCAGTGCAAGGCCAAACCTTCAGTGGGATGAGGGACTCCGGGCCAGAACCACACCAAGAAGCACTTTTCAACACCAAGGTGCGGCAGCTGCAATGGCTGCTGAACAACTGCGGCCTCATTTCTGGCCACTTTGAGCGCTTCATTAAAAATGGCGCAACATGCCAAAACCTCGAGAGCCCAAGGAGAGCTCCTGCCTCCACACCCAAAAGAAGGGCAAAGCCGGCAGCCCCAGCCCCACCACACCAACACCAGGAGGAGGAGGAGCAGGCAGGCAGAGGTGGAGGAGCAACCAGAGGCAGAGCAACCAGAGGTGGAGCAGGTGGCCCCAGCCCCTCATCTTCTCAAAATGGATGAACCTGCTGCAGAGGAGGAGGCGGTGATCCAGCAGCAGGTGAAGTGGACCCAGCGCCGTAGTGGCAAGAGCCGCAAGGAATTTGGGGTGTTCCAGTACACCCACAATACTGGCAAGAAAGGCAGCTTTTCTTGTTGGTATCCTTCCAAAAGCCACGCAGCCAGGGCGGGTGACAATTGGCATTCCAAGGTGGTGCGCTCTGCCCCACAGGCTCCTTCGCCCCCCAAGAAGAAGGAAGATGATTTGGAGGCTCCCTTGCCTCAACAGGTTGACATGACACAACCCCTCACACAACTTGAATTCCACATTGTCAAGCATGCAGCATGCGCATTTTGTGCGCAGGGTGACAAGGTCAGGAAAGGAGTACGTCATGTTCACATACAAAGAAGGATGGGGCCCTGCCACCAAATCCAACCTTTCTCGTTGGTATTCTAGCATGGAGGCAGCTGCAAGGGCCATCCACACTTGGGCAGGGGAAGACTGGTGGCAGCGGATCAAAACCACCATGACTTTTGCCCCAGAAGATGAGGAAGACCAGGCCACACTCCTCATCAGAGAAGTTCGACAGAACTATCTCACGTGGCTAGAGAATGCTCTTACCCCTGATGTTTTGCAAGACATCAAGGAGGACCTGACAGGCCAGGTGTTGGGGCAAATGGTCGAAGATGACTACCTGGCAAGAATGGTGAGCAGCTTCGCCCAAGGGGAAGGGGTGGCCTTGCAAGATCTTTTGCACCAAGTCTTGCAATGCGAAAAAGATGATTGGGGCACCCCAGTGGTGTGGGGCGGGCCTGTGGCTGTCCAGGGGGTGTTGGCGCGGAAAAAGCTGACATAGCTTGCAAAACCGTCGCCACCTTTCTGGAGGAAGGCCCTGGCCAAGAAGTCTTCCTCCTACTTCACCACAACAGCCACTTTGTTCCACCATGGGCGCCGACTTTCCATGGCCCTTACCAGAGCCGCCCATGTGAATCGCGGGGCTTGGAAAGCCCTTTTGCACAAGCCTGCCAACACCACGGGTGGCATTGGGACGCAAGCACTAGGGCAGGGGGAGACTGCGCCTTCCATGGCATAGTTTTGTACCAGGCATTATTGGCAAAGGCCACGCCACTCCCCCTTGTAGAGGCCGATGCGCTCCCCCCACCAGAGATGGAGCCCCTCCCACTCCCACCACCAAAGCCAGAGCCTTTGCAAGCCCTTCCTCTGGTGACCAAAGAGGAGGAGCACTAGGTCAAGCCACTGAAGTATTGGTGAAAGTTTTCCGGCTCGAAGAAAGCTCATTTAATCAGTTTTGCAGAAATTGTCAAAGCCAGATGAAAAAATAAATACAGATGTTATATTTACTATATTGAATACGAGTGCAAGCAGAGAGTGTGTGTACCCATAAAAATAAGTTGAATTCAAAGAAGCACACCCTTTTTGTTTGGAATTATGAAACATAGGTGAATTATACCCTCTATATTTACATACATGTGTTTCGATAAAATATTACACCAGCATCGACCCCAAACAGCCCAGCCCAGCATCCAGACATGTCATGGGACAAGGGGAGACAAGGGGAGGCAAAGCAGAGTGATCCCAGCCCAGCATCCAGACACACCATGGGAGACAAGGGGAGACGAAGGGAGACAAAGCAAAGTCATCTCAGCCCAGCGTCCAAACACACCATGGGAGACAAGGGGAGGCAAAGCAAAAAACATCTCAGCCCAGAGAAGAGACAAAGCACTGGTGCGCCACCACCACCACCACCACCACCACCACCACCACCACCAGCACCAGGTGGCGCAGCCCACCACCACTAGTGTACACCACCATTGGCACAACACCACCACTGTACACCAGAAGGGCTTTGGGCGCACACCACCACTACTGGTGCACAAGAACTGGTGCCAAGGGCTTTGGTTCCATCAATCTGTGTGCGCAAAGATCTTAGTTTGTTTGTTTTTTTGTTTTGTTTGTTTGTTTGTTTGTTTGTTTGTTTGTTTGTTTGTTTGTGTGTGTGTGTTTGGCTGTGTGTTTGCTTGTGTGTTTGCTTGTGTGTTTGCTTGTGTGTTTGCTTGCTTGCTTGCTTGCTTGCTTGCTGGCTGGCTGGCTGGCTTGCTGGCTTGCTGGCTTGCTGGCTTGCTGGCTTGCTGGCTGGCTGGCTGGCTGGCTGGCTGGCTTGCTTGCTTGCTTGCTTGCTTGCGTTTGTGTGTGTTTGTTTTGTTTGTATTTGGTTGTGAGTTGTTTTGTTGCTTGTTGCCAACCCCCCACCTGTATGCTTTTTGTGAGGCGCGGCCTGCAAAAGGTGGCGGGGAGTGCTGAAATCAAGGGTTTGCAAGCAGCTCTGGTCAACCAAAGTGCTTTGCAAGCAGCTCTGGTCAACAAAAAAGTGCTTTGCAAACAAATCTGATCAAAGTGCTTTGCAAGCAGATCTGGTCAACCGAAATGCTTTCAAGCAGAGGTCAGCCAAAGTGCTGTGCAAGCAGATCTGACAACCAAAGTGCTTTCCAAGCAGATCTGGTCAGCCAGCTCTGGTCAACCAAAGCGCTTGGAAGCAGCTCTGGTCAACAAAAGTGCTTCAAGCAGCTCTGGTCAACCAAAGCGCCTTGGAGGCAGATCTGGTCAACTCAACCAAGCTTTACAAGAGCTCTGGTCAACCAAAGTGCTTGGAAGCAGCTCTGGTCAACCCAAAAGGCTCTGCAAGCAGGTATGGTCAGCAAAAGTGCTTTGCAAGCAGGTATCAAAAGTGCTTTGCAAGCAGATATGGTCAAGCAAAGTGCTTTGCAAGCAGGTCTGGTCAACCAAAGTGCTTTGCAAACAGCTCTGGTTAACTGAAGTGCTTTGCAAGCCAAAGTGCTTTGCAAGCAGGCCTGGTCAACCAAAATGCTTTGCAAGCAGATCTGGTCAACCAAAGTGCTTTGCAAGCAGGTCTGGTCAACCAAAGTGCTTTGCAAGCAGATCTGGTCAACCAAAGTCGCTTTGCAGGCAGGTCTGGTCAAAGTGCTTTACAGGCAGATCTGGTCAACCAAAGTGCTTTGCAAGCAGCTCTGGTCAACCAAGTTCCAAGCAGCTTTGGTCAACCAACGTGCTTTTCAAGCAGCTCTGCAAAGAGCTTTGCAAGCAGGATCTGGTCAACTAAAAGTGCTTTTGCAAGCAGCTCCACCAAAGTGCTTTGCAAACAAATCTGATCAAAGTGCTTTGCAAGCAGATCTGGTCAACCAAAATGCTTTCCAGCAGAGGTCAACCAAAGTGCTGTTCAAGCAGACCTGGTCAACCAAAGTGCCTTCCAAGCAGCTCTGGTCAACTGAGCGCTTGGAAGCAGCTCTGGTCAACAAAAGTGCTTTGCAAGCAGCTCTGGTCAACCAAAGTGCCTTGGAAGAAGATCTGGTCAACCAAAGTGCCTTGGGTGCAGATCTGGTCAACCAAAGTGCTTTGCAAGCATCTGGTCCACAAAAGGAGTTTTGTCTGGTCAACCCAAATGTTGCAAGCAGGTCCAGTCAAAGAAAGTGCTTGAGTGCTTTGCAAGCAGCTCTAGTCAACCCAAAGTGCTATGCAAGCAGCTGGTCAACCAAAGTGCTTTGCAAGCAGCTCTGGTCAAAGTGCTTTGGAAGGAGATCTGGCCAACCAAAGTGCTTTGAATGCAGATCTGGTCAACTAAAGTGCCTTGCAAGCATCTGGTCCACGAAAGTGCTTTGGTCTGGTCAACCAAAGTGCCTTGGAAGCAGATCTGGTCAACCAAAGTGGCTTTGCAAGCAGGTGTGGTTTAGTGCTTTACAGACAGATCTGGTCAACCAAAGTGCTCTAGTCAACCAAGTGCATTCAAGCAGCTCTGTCAACCAGTGCTTTGCAGGCACCTTTGGTCAGCTCTGGTCAACCACACTGCTCAAGATCAACAAGAGCTTGGCAAGCAAATCTGATCAACCAAAGTGCTTTGCAAGCAGATCTGACAACCAAAGTGCTTTCCCAGCAGATCTGGTCAACCAAAGTGCTTTGCTGACAACCAAAGTGCATGCAGATCTGGTCAGCCAAAGTGCTCTGAAGCAGATCTGGTCAACCAAAGTGCTTTGCAAGCAGCTCTGGTCAACCAAAGTGCTTGGAAGCAGCTCTAGTCTACAAAAGTGCTTTGCAAGCAGCTCTGGTCAACCAAAGTGCCTTGGAAGCAGATCTGGTCAAGCAAAGTGCTTTGGATGCAATCTGGTCAACCAAATGCCTTTCAAGCACTGGTCCACCAAGGTGCTTTTGTCTGGTCAATCAAGGTGTTTTGCAAGCGGGTCTTGTCAAGAAAGTGCCTTGCAAGCAGGTCAACCAAACTGCAGCTCTGGTCAACCAAAGTGCTTTGCAAGCAGCTGGTCAACCAAAGTGCTTTGCAAGCAGCTCTGGTCAACAAAAGTGCTTTGCAAGCAGGTTGAGTGAGTGAGTGAGTGAGTGAGTCAGTGAGTGAGTGAGTGAGTGAGGTTGAGTGAGTGAGGTTGAATGAGTGAGGTTGGGTGATTGAGGGGTGAGGTTGAGTCAGTGAGGTTGAGTGAGTGAGGTTGAATGAGTGAGGTTGAATGAGTGAGGTTGGGTGGGTGAGGTTGAGTGAGTGAGGTTGAGTGAGTGAGGTTGAGTGAGTGAGGTTGAGTGAGTGGGGTTGAGTGAGTGAGGTTGAGTGGGTGCGCAGCCCACCACCACTAGTGTACACCACCATTGGCACAACACCACCACTGTACACCAGAAGGGCTTTGGGCGCACACCACCACTACTGGTGCACAAGAACTGGTACCAAGGGCTTTGGTTCCATCAATCTGTGCGCGCAAAGATCTTAGTTTATTTGTTTGTTTGTTTGTGTGTGTGTGTTTGTGTGTTTGTTTGTGTGTTTGGTTGTGTGTTTGGTTGTGTGTTTGGTTGTGTGTTTGAATGTGTGTTTGAATGTGTGTTTGAATGTGTGTTTGAATGTGTGTTTGCTTGTGTGTTTGCTTGCTTGCTTGCTTGCTGGCTTGCTGGCTTGCTGGCTGGCTGGCTGGCATGGCTGGCTGGCTGGCTGGCTGTATAGTCTTGGCAGTTTGTTGCTGCGTACAAGAGGATGGCTACTTTCAGCTTCACATTTGGAACAATTGGACTCTGTAAGTAAGAACGCAGCTGTTAAAAGGGCATACACAACATACAACCATATACATGAGTGCATGTTGGGTACTTGATGGCCACCGCTTGGAATTGCTGTGATTTCAACCTAGGACAATGATTTTAGAACGGTTCTTTTTCAACTCATTTGTATGGAAACTCAGACATCGTTTGGTGCTGTGCGTCCGGCACGTGTGCGTTTGCTCGCGACACGCATGTTCGACACTCGGGCGAAGAAGTGCTGGGCGAACAAAGCGAACGATCGGGTGGACCGCTGGGCTGGATGACCCCCGAAGAATTCCTAAGAAAAGTAAGGTGATCGTTTCGTAAGGCATACTTGGCCATTGCGCAAGAACAGACTAAGAAGTATTCCAGGTTGGCTAAAACTACCATTGTTGGCTTGTTGTGTTTCTTTTTGATAGTGTGAATCACAAGCTACGAACGGGGCTCCTCGCCTGGCCGACCAACGGAGCGATCGGACGCGAACCGAAAAAAGGGGTGTTGTGTTTCTTTGACCGTTGGCTACGTGAATGTCAGGCACAAAGACCTGGAAGCCGTCGCGAGCCTGGTGGATGTCTTGAAGGACCGACCGACGGCCTTGGAACACTCGGTGGGAGCGGTTCAGCTCGTCTGGAGCAAAGAACAGGCCAGGCTTTAGGTGATGTTTGGTGTCCTCAAACGCTGTTCTTTGGGTGTCATGTTGGGTGTTTGAAGGCACCGCGTTCGCTTTCAGATTTGTTCTATGTTTGGGGGATGTGAAACTCACACACTTCGAGTCTCACTTTTGGCCGCGTAAAAAAATCAACGTTTTGACAAGTCGTACCCTTGCCACCAGATTCATTCACTTCCAGCATCCTCCAACAGGCTGTTAGTTGAGGGTTGTTGGACCCTAACAGGTCTCAATTGGTGACCTGTAGAGTCGGGTCCTGGTTGGTTTTGAGTTTATCCTTCCTTTTTCACCACTTCATTTCCGGGCGCAGGAACCCCGCGCTGTCCACCGTCTCTGTTCCGGAACCGTCGGAAACGAAGCTAAGCGGCCGACTTCCGTCTCGCCGCTTCCGTCTCGCCGATCCCAGGAACAAGTCGAGAGCGAAGACTTCATCAAGGCGACGGATCTGCCGGATCTGGGCGACACGACGACACGAGTGTCAGCGGAGCGGTCGACAGCCAGTGAAGCGTTGGGGTTTGTGTTTTTTTTTTGTTTGAGGAGAGAGGGTTCAAGAACCTGAAGCAGCACTCTCATGTAACCGGTTTTTGATGACGTGTCGGCGCTGGTTGGTGATGGTGATGAGTGCAAGACAGAGTGATGTTTAAACATGCTCACAAGCAGCAGTCATGTTTTCGGATGAGGATAGTATCGACACATGTTTTGTTTTTGACACTTTTGGGGTACCTTTTGTCCTTTGTCAGTCAGCGGCAGTCAGTGGTTGGCATGTAAATCTGTTGGGGGATTCTGTTCTTCTCCAAGGTGTGTTTGCAAGGTGTCTGAATGTGACTCTGGACCAACTGACAGCAGCCGATGTGAGTTTGAGACACAGAAGCTAGCGCCCCCCCACTCGGCCCACAGAGGCGGAAGGACGATCAACTTCGTCGAATCGCAACGTTCAGTCAGACAACCACATCCGAACGTTGAGTCAGAGGGGAGCGTACATGGGTGTGAGATCACTGACAACCAATTAACACGTGACATGTTGGTCTGGGGTGCCTTCTTCCAGGAGGTCATTCGGGGATCTACCTCACCCACGTGTTCCTGAGCCATAGCCTCTCAGGCTTAAGGTGCTTTTGCCAAGCCAAAACACCTTGGCTTGTCCCGTGCGACGCAACACCTGACCGCGTTTTCTCCCCCCTTCGCGCTTTCTCCCTTGGCCAGACCAAGCTGTGCCTGAAGAATGCGCACTTGCACCAGAGGCCGGACGAAGGGAGCGGTTTTGGGTCGGGGGAGGAGCCACAGCTTGCGTTTGGGCGCGAGGTCGGAAGGGAGGAAGGGGGATTTTCGGGGATCGCCTTTCCTCTTCCGAAACTAAGAAGGAGGAGAAAGTTGGGATCAAGATCCGAAGATCCATACTTTCCAATATTTTCCAATACTTTCCATACAACAGGACCCGACTCTACAGGTCACCAATTGAGACCTGTTAGGGCTCAACCAAAGACCTGGCAGGGAGGGTAGTGGTCTGAATCGTGTTGGAATGAGAGATCTACCGCCTCAAACACTTCCAGGGTCTGTTGTTCGTTTCGTCCTGTTTCTTCGTTTTCGGACCACCGACCGCGGGAGATCGGAGGGCTGGGATCGGAGGTCCGAGGTCTGCTAGCGCCGCAACGACCGAGGCGTTCTGTCTGCACGGTCCCGGCGGCACGACGAAGCGTCGGTCGGTGGCCGTTGTTCGACGCGAAACGGCGGCACCTCGGAGCGGAAACGCCCTCCGTTTTCGTCGCGAAGCTGAGAAGGTGGGATGGGTGCCAGGAGGGTCTAGTCATACCGAACTTCAGGTACGACGAAGTCGGTGTAGGGGAAAACATCGAGATGGCTTCGATCCAGTGCCTTAAATGCATTGAACTCAAGAAAATGCGAGTCTTCACGCCTCAATTCAACCTCCCATGTCTGATCTGTGGCATAATATGCATACCCTGGGAGGTGCCCTGAGTCTCTAGAATGTCCATGAATGTCCGATCCTGTACGTTGGTGGTGCCCAAGAGTCGTTTGCCCTGGACTTCTTACAGGGTATACCCCGGAAGAGACCCACATCCACATGGAACCTGATGGCATGGACCAGACTGGAAGACCATTTTCCTCTACGCAGTGAATGTGGCAAATCCTTGGAGAGAGGGATCTCAAAACCTGAGGGCTCCGTTCGGCCGCCATCTGTTCCGTTCCGGTTCGATCGGACAAGGGGGGTCGGGAGCGCGGGACGCCCACCGAACCTGAGGATAGGGAAACATCCCTTTGAGGTAGTGAGATGAGGTGAGAGAAGGAGCCGAGGGTCATCGAACCTCTCAGGCACCGAGCTAGCTCCCCCCCCCTCCGACCATGTTCGATCCCCGAAGACCGGGTTTTGGTCGTGTAAGCTTATCTCAAGTGTGCGGTCACAAAACCCCCACCATGGGACTAAACTATATAGACTTACATACATTTACATACCAGCACCTTCCAAGGGTTCAATAGACTAGATGCCCTGCAACTTGTGGATCTCTATTGAGCACCCCTTCGAGTATCCAGGCACATTTAACCTGAAAATGACCCATCAAAACGCCGCTCTTCCGGGATGGTCCTGGATGCCTCCTTGGGCCACCCTGGTCTTCTCCTAAGGTCAGCTCCGGTCTCACCGCTTCCGTCTCGCCCGCAGGCCCAACACCCTGCTGCGGGCGCCGAAGCCTGAGAAGGTGCCGCCGGAAGTGGAGGCGCAGCCGGCTGCGAAGGGTGCGAAGGGTGCGAAGGCTGAGCACAGGGGCGGCCAAACCGCTGCCGAAAACACAGGTTCCGTGGGCGGGCTAAAAGTGTTTTTTGTTAGCGATGAAGAAACGGTCTTCAAGTTGGTGATGAGGAATATGGTCGAAAAGCACCATGCACGGGGTTTTCCTTCTCAGGGATTCATGGGATCTTCGTCTGCGGGGCATCCTCTGATTTCAGAGTATACGTGGTTTTCAGATTCTAAAAGTTCTAGACGGTTCTGTGGGAGGCTGAAGGGGAGGAGATTCGCGTGCGAGAATTCTTTTCTCTATAGACGCGTGCCTTTCCGCGTCTTCTCTTCTTCAGTGACCCCTGAAGGAGGCATTTTTCTCTAAGACTTTGGATCATTCTTTCAAGAACCATCACTTGATGGACCACATCGGCCAGAACACCGAGCCGAGCTGAGCCGAGCTTTTTGCGACGACTTTGGTGTTACAGGGGGTGAAACTGCCAACGTGGGGATGAGCAAAGAGGTGCCCAGAATCATGAGGGAGATGTTTTGCTATTATCCCCGACAAACACACACACACATACCTTGGGTTCGTCCGAACTTAGAACCTCATGAGCTGTCAGTAAACAAGAACATCGCCGTTTTGAAAAGGCCTTTAGAAACCATATATGTATAATAATGACAACAATAATAGTAATTAATAACAACAATAATAATCATCATCATCCATTGTTACTGGTAATAGGATAAACCCAACACATTCACAGACTGTGGCTGGTCATAGCATGGTGAATCCGCAATGATAGTGACCCAAAAGCACTGGCGACATGGTCATGGAGTAGATTTGAGACTCAAGAAGCAGAGCCAGCGTGTTGGAATTAGCATGTCGGACATCCCGAGCCATCAGCAAGCTTGGGCAAGCTTCTATCAGGGAACACTGAGAAGAACACACAAGAACACAATATCTTTGTTTCCCTCAACCATGGACATCCGAATCCCACCATCCGTGGAGCTACTAGTTAACATCTTAAGATTCTTAATTGGCTCCCAAAACTGACTCTGCCCCTCACTGTGGAATCTATATAACTCTCATTGAGCACCATCTCTCCGTCGTCCTTACACCGGGAGAGGGCGCCCGTTTCAACACGCACCGTCGGGACCATGGTGTTCCCGCTGCCGAACCGCCGGTCAGGGTGTGGCGCCCTTCCGTTGGACGATGGAACAGCTGGACCTGCTCTTCGAGGCGGGGCAACACACGGACGCCACACGCAGCGGAAGATCGATCAGATCGGAGCTCGAGCAGCTCGGTTCACCGAGAGCCCAGGTGATGACTGAATCTGGAGCAGCTGGCCATTGTGTATTGAAATACCTGGATCTTCACTGTAGTATCCAATTGTAAGGAGACATTTCTGGATACGGTTCATCTCTAAAGCCAGCAAAAAAGGCACACATTCAGGCACAGTTGGAAGATCCAGGTATTACTTAGCTGCTTCCTGTTCGGGTTCACCGATGGACAAGGTCTACGCTGGTGTCTACACTACATTAATATGCACTAGACATACTAAACTGACACCCATCGGAAGCGTTAGGTATATTGAACTGAGACAGAGCTGCAAATTGGGACATTCATCATATCAGGTGTTGCATGAACCCTCACTTCTACATGGGTGTGAAGTCTCAACTTGGTTTGTAGACTAAAAGGACTCAATTCCACTTGCACCAGCACCCTGACTCTACGGGTGCCTTTATAACTGAAAAAAAAATCAGCCTGACGCCTGCAACGGAATGGCCTGCCCTCTTCCTTCCAGTCCCCAGCTTCTGAAGATTCATTCGTCCAAAATGGTTGCAGGCCTTGGAGATTCCTAATCTAGATGACATCCTATTTCCACGGTTTACACGGAAACCCCGCCCTCCTCGGCTGGAGCTCCCTTTTGCTTCCGCCTTTGTGGAATCGGCGGCTGCGCCAGGTGGTCGCCAGCGCGGCGGCCGCCATCTCTCCCAGCTGCAGGCCATGTGCGACGCTCTCCTAAGTGAAGTGATAAGGGATGAGCCGGTAAGATAGAGGTAGGAGCGATGGATGATATGTTGTATTGAATATGTAGAATATGTGGATGTAAGAGGCAAGGATGTATGTTCGTGGGCATGGTGCATGTAGGAGATGAAGCTTTCAACTGAGATTTGTACACCAGAAGAGACTCCCTTGTCAAACAAGTCATGAAGCAAATGACATATATTCATTTAGTACATATGCCGATACCGCTCTCCAAGCAAAAAAAAGTAAGTGATGGTTTACACGAAGTTTGTCAAGAATGGTCATTGGATTTGCGGGCCAAGAATTCAGAGAGAGAGAGAGAGAGAGAGAGAAGAGGAAGGCTTTCGAAGTTGAATTGGATACACATCGCCTCTATCATGTAAGAGTATGAACTCAACTGAAGAGTGTTGTCCCCCCAGAGTGGTGCAACTCTTCAAGATGTGGGGGCTCGGAGGAGTTTTCCAGCACTCCTTCGAGCCCAATTTTCCCCTGAGACGCATGGGAACCTGTCAGGGAAGAGGTTCGGTGTGTTTTCGAACAGTTCGAATTCCATGTATCCGAGGGACCAGCTCGTTAATGTTGCATCCGTACCGACAAATATCACCTGAAACGCATGGTCAGTTGCCGTGAAGAAGGAACCACTGGGCGAGTGGCAGTTTCTCCATGTGTCTCCCTCCTCCGAGAAAAGAACCAACATATATAACAACTCCCACCCAAAAACACGAGGAAACCGCAGACCACACCAAAGCGGGTTTCGCCACATATCACACACCAAAAGGACAAAAGGACACAGCGGGTCCACGCTCGTGCGAATCAGGGTGTTGCCCAACTACACGCTCTTGCGAATCTTGGAGCAGCTGACCTCTGTCGCCCGGAGTCGAACTCTCGACAACGCTTTTCCGCGCGAGGCCACGGAGCTTCCGAAGGAACCATGGTGGTCCGTCGGTATATGGGTTGGTCGTCGAAGAACTGGAACCACTGGGACTCCCAGCTATAGGCTATAGTGGTAACTGGATGCCCTGGGTTTTTCTTTGTTTATCTCTGACCAGCTGTGAACAATCCCGAGAGGGGTTGGGTCCTTTTCGGGTTGTTTTGTATCTTTGGGTTGTCTTTGAATTGGGTTGTCGCCCTTTTGATGACACATTCCCAGTCATCGCCTGTTCCTCACTTCGCAAGGTCTTCCCTTTGCGATTAGGTCTTTTGGCCATACCTCTGGATCTTCCAACTATTCTAATTTTCTGCCATTTTGGCTGTTTTGTTATAGATGAAATGGCAGACATTTGTCACAGTTGGAAGATCCATCTATGGCTATGTATGTTACTGGGGAGCTTTTCTCTACAAACTGGGTGGTGAACTCCACTTCCGAGTTAATGACACGGACAGTAACCCAAATGGTTGATTGGGATGCTTTGCATTCACTGAGTTTTTGTTGAACTAACTGCGAAGCCGGGCATTGGAATGTAACTTTTTGACCAGTGTTGGTTAGATTTCAACGTGTTTTGCAGTTACTATATAACATATGTTTTTTCTCGACCTGTTTTCAATATCTGTATGTCAGTGGGGCCTTTCCACTGGCCCCACCAGATGCCTTGCCTTATCCGGGGGTGGTTTGAACATGTTTGAGCTACTACCTTCATGGTCACCTGATTCTTTCTTGGAGCCAACCGGTTGGCTTGGAACTCACAGCTGACTGGTTGGGGATGTTTAGTTGTATTTTTGGAGACCCACTACGTATAGACCTGTGGAAGTAAGTGCCTCAACAAACTGTGTCATTTGCCCAGGCAGATGGCGGGGACAAGCGCACGGTGAAGGTGCCAGCGAACTGGTTGGGGTCCCCAGCCACTGGAAGGGGTGGCATCTATGTGCCACCCCTGGAGCATTAAATCAGACTGAAGCTGTGTAGGTGGGTTCAGAATCCTTTTTTTCTCGACCTGTTTGATTTGCACAACGGGATTGCGAGCTCGATCAGAGAAAATGCGATGGCAGCGGGATTCACGGGGCACAAGTTTCAACACATGCCAACACCGATTGTGTTCACCTCCGGATTGAGTTTTACTCCTCACATCTGCTAGACTTATCTTATACGATAAATTACACGTACTTTCGGACATGTACGTGTGATCAAGTTGGAAGTCAGAAGTTTGGAATCAATTTGAATGGTTATTTTAAGTTGGACCATGTCCACGTGTTGCAGGAATTTCCTCTTTAACATGAAGTCGATTTCTGTTGCAACATGAAGTCCTGCTCTGGTTCTCATCTCCGGACCTGTCGGACCTGTCGTCTTCTCCGTCGTCACGGGACCGTGAGGCGGAACTGTGGTGAGGCCAAGTTGAAGCAGATGTCAGGGATCCCCAGAGCTGCCGATGGCCCGATGACCGTTCGTCATCACTGCTAATCCGTGTGATATACAGAACCATGCCAATCCGGGTGAGAATCCTTCGGCCGACCTGTGCGGTGTGTCCTACACGATCCGGAACGCCCGGATCGAAACAAGTGAGTTCCAGGGAGAGTACGTCGCGAAGCAAAGACGTCGCGTCAGGGTGGTCGGGTTCCTTTGGCTGCTGCTTCGAAGCTCTCATGTGCTTCCTGGAATTCTGCTCACTCGTCGCTTCCTGTGCAACAACACCTTGGCGTTCAACACCTTGGCGTTTCACTGCGATCGGGCGCACTCTTTCTGCGATCTTCGGTGACCTTGCCTCGCCACCGTACTGGCTATCCATGTGCTTCTCAGCCGCTTACCAAACCTGAAACGCTACGACGTTGAGGAAGTCGAGGAAGTCGACTTGATTCAGTCTTCCTCCAAGTCGATCCAGGCTGCACATTTTATTGTTTCTGGTTGACTTTGCAACGCCGATGATTCTGTTCGTGTGGACGAGCAAACATAGATGTTTTATTTAGGTTTATTCAATATTTGTCCCAGTATCTCGCAGTTGAGGGTCTTTAGATTCCATGAAAGGTGCAGCTCATCCTCGTTGCCTCCCTCCTTTCGTCCAGATAAGCAGCGAGTGCCAGCTGAAGGGCCCCAGCTCAGTCTGAGGGATGTCAAAGTCCTGGCACAGACCATGTCAGACCATGTCGGCACTCTTTTTGAGGTATTGCGTAGCCCTGCCTGCCGGGGGGGGAAGGCCTCCGCCGAGGCCAAGCTGGTCTTCTGTCAGGATAGTTTGGCAATACATTCATGTGCCCTTGCCTCCGGAGCCCTGCCTCTTGTCTCAGCTGAGGACCACTCGAAGTGATATAAGTTGTCTCGTGAGAGCTTGGGCATGTGCGGGGTTCTTGACCATGGCATATGTACTATACCTACATGGCTACTTGGAGAGTGAAGAGTAGTGGAAGTTCCTCCAAGCCAGTTGGTGAGTGGCTTTTGCCATGAGGAACACCAGTGAAACCCTGGGGAAAGGGTGGTTTCTCGTACATCAATTAACACAAGCTGATCAGTTTAGAAGCAGGGAGAAGATATTTGCCTACAGCAAGTGCAAAGCACAGGAAGAATAACACTAATTCCCCTGGAATCCCCGGGAAAGGCGCACGTTACAGTTCGACCGTTTTTGCACCATGCCGCGTCCCACAAAAGTCGAAATCACATTCAAAGTGCAGCAGATACAAATATCCAAAGGTAAACCCTATGTGAAGTTGTTGCCCGGATCCCCAACCAATCTTCTTCGACTTCTCGGAAGAACGGGGCCTCTTGGGGGCTCGGCTCCAGGCTGGCGGCCTTCGATCATCCCTATTCTGGAAGCTGCGGCTGGGACAGCACGGGGCACCTCCTGAAGGAATGAGAAGGTTAGAAGACCTGCAAGAATGATGGAATGAATGCTGACCTGCACGGGCGATGTTTTGCTAAACATGTTCATACCTGGACCGACTGGCACGCTGGGGCGAAACCAGCCAGGTGACCCCGACATGAAGGTGCTGGCATCAATAAATCCGGTGTTTCACCCACAACGATCTGGTGCCCATCCGACGCGAAGGGCGAAGGCTTCTGCGACTTCACTCGCCGAAGGCGCGCCTCGTCCATCCGAGGAAGCGTCAGCGTCTCGCGCCGTCTCGCCTCGCGCGCCGAGCTCCGGTCGTTCCGTGCGGCTCGCGCGGTCGTCTGATCGCGTGACAAACCGTGACCAAGGCATCGATCTGGTGGACTTCCTCTTCCACATGCTGCTTCTCCACAGCCCCGTGGGGTCGGGACTCCCATCAAGTCTGACCGACTGAGGCAGAGGGAGATGAAGAGGGGTATACGGGGCCGTAGACGTATTGGTGGGAAGTTCTATCAATGGAGAATCCATTCATTCGCCGTGATGTTCCGAAGAAAACAAAGGGGATCACCGGTGGCACAGCAAAAAATGCGCAATTTTGAAGATTGCCTCATACTCCCATACTGCTTTGAGATGGGTGTGAGAGGATTAGGTGAGCTGCCAATCTCCTCGCCCAAGCACGATAGCTAAACACACAAAAACCCAGGCGATGACTGACCGGATCTCGATGACTGACATTGACAAGTGTGATCAGCCATGCCATTGGCCCCTTTTAGTTTCATTATGAAATCAATCATTCGCTGATTTGGTGTTGAAGAACCTGGATCTTCCAACTGTGCAACGTTTCTGCAGTTTCATCACAAGACTGCCAAAGGCATTCGATTTCTTTCGATTCATCGGATTCATTCATCCACCCGCGTAGGCCGCGGGTTCGGCGTTGGCGCAGTTTCGGTGACGGTCTTGGTGGGTCTGGTCATGGGAAGCGGCAGAGGGTGGAACAGAAGGAGCTGACCACTTCGAGATTGGGATGGCAGATGATGTAGGCAGATGGCATGGGCCGTTTTTGATGCTTGGTGCACTCAAATGGCGCCATCCGTGGACCGTTTCAAGTGTAAGTGGTGCACCAAATCAATAGCCACAACCTATCGAACCAGCAGGCGCCTTCGTTGCCCCTGTCGGGTCGGCGGAGTCGGGTCAAGGTGGCCCTCCTTGAACACCCTCATGGAGGTCCGAAGGGTTCTGGAAGCCCAGGTGCGGTGGCGGAGAGATGCGGCGGTTTGGCTTTTGCGACTAATGAGCGTATCACAAGAGGTGCAGAGATGCTGGAGAGATTCGTTCGTTTTTTGTTCCAATTTCCGAGACACTCCATGGGACTGCCATGTATGCCGATCAGTTGGGGTGGTGCCAGGGGGGTCAATGGGGCGGCATATATGGCATACATGAAGTGTCTGGGTTTTGGAGCTTCAGGAGACTCATTCCAGGAGCTGTCTACGTGTCCAGGTTGGACTACCCTTTCGTCTACTAGATGTCCAACCTGGACACCCAGGATCACTGCGATCACTGCGGAGTGCGACGGAGAATGGACACAGGAACCACCCCGTGCGTGTAGCGTTCTTGGTACGTAGTAAGGCCAGGGTCGCCCCGTTCGAGTCGCGATGCCCGACATGCTCCGTTCGTCGCGTTCGAACGTGTTCGACTCGTTAGCCAGGCGCCTCGGGGTGCCATCTGGCCAGACTTCTACGCTGCTCGACCGGCGCAGAAACCTTTCAGAGCGGCACCGTGTGGGTTGCGTGTTGGTGTGTTGGTTTTGAGTTTCGTGTGGGTTTCGAGTGACCGCTGAGCTCGTTTCGAGGACGGTGGAGCGTTTCTTTTTTTTGCGAGGACCCAGAGCGAAGTTATGGAAGTACGTATTGTTGCAGCAACATGTACCTGTTGGAAGGTGATGGCAAGACCTCTATAGAAAAGAACCGCATCAAAAGCCATTCCATCACCCAGAATTAAGACAAGCAACATGTCCGTTAATTAAGCTTTCCACCCAAGGAATTCAATCTCATTCAACAGCACTTGTTCTTGGACTACCCGGCCCTTGGTTGCCCTGACTCTTTCGACTTCTTGTTTTTGATTTACATGGTGCTGCTCATAGCAAGCGCGAGTTCTTAAGCTGTTTGTCCACCCTTTCCAGAGGAACAGGCAGAAATGTTTGGCACTATCAGACAGTGTCCATGCCTCAATAAAATCTGAAAAAACAGGATACAGGAAAAAAGAATCAGATTGTTGCCCTTCAATGTTTCCATATGTTTCCCATTCACATCGATGCTACTTCTATTTTGTTCTTGACCAGTACATCAAGGTTTTGAGGTCTTGCTTCTTCATGACCTCTTCTTGAAGCCAAGAACATGGGGCCCCTGGCGCAACCCCAAAAACACTCTCCAACATTTTCAAGTTCCTTGCGTCACAATGGCCTCCTCGAACTGGACGTCACGTGCACATCACGGGGTGGGGCAGATGGGCCGGATCGATCCGGGCGGGGCCCTGGAAGAGTTCAACCCTGAACACCGGTGTGTGGAGGAAGCTCCTCCAAAGATCCATTCTTAGGGTTCCAAGTTGATCGTGTGTACATCCATGGAGAATTTCCTTGGGCTCCTGGCCCATCTCCTCAGGTTCGGTGGTTAGACTCCCCCTGGCACCCAGCCCATCCACCGAACCTGGGGATGTGCGCCAGGAGCCTTATAGGCATTGGTGATCCGAAGAGACCATCAGAGGCCCCGAACAGGTTCGAGCATCGATGGCCTCCATTCCATCGGGCCATCGTCGAGCCATCGTCGGGCCATCGAACGTACGCACGGACGGCGGACGGACACGATCCAGCAAGGTTCCGGGTCACGTGGTGGAATCCTTGCCCCTCTTCGAAGAGAGCGGCGAGGCGACCGATGTGAAACGGTCTTCCGGGGCGAGGTCGACCAATGGCCGGGCACCGCGCCTTGGAAGGTGGTCCTTTTTTTGGGGGGGAAAGCGATTGAAGAGGTGTTTCCTGTCGGCCACCAGTGCACCACTCAGTTAGAGACCCCCAAAACAGTCGGTCGCAGGGTCCGGGATCTTGGGTTTTGCGTGGGGAGACCGGGTTGTGCGTGACACGTGTCCCATCCGAGACTGCACGGAGTCCGCCACGCGGTCCAAGGCGAATGGACTGGCTGAAATGATTTGAGACCGAGCTGACCGAGCTACTAGTAGTAAACGCCCTTGTCGCTCGTAGCTTTTAGCAGTAGCCGGCGAGCCCCTTGAAGAACCTCACCAACCAGCCAGAGTCCCACCCCAAATCTGCTTTTTGGCGGACGAGAGAGGCTCGAGTGCAAGCACCTTGCATGTCTTGTTATTCGGATCTGTACCGCCAAGGCGGTAGAGATGGGGCGGAGGAGGCAGGCTATATAGCGGGTATCTGGCTCACAATTCTGTGAAAGGCTACGTACCGACTATATAGTTAGAGGTGGTGGCCTCCGAAGCGATCGACACGTAGATCTCCACGTCGATCCCATGGTCTTGAACAGCATTTCTATATCTACTTTGGTGATCTATATATACACCTCCAGTCGTACCTCAGGTTCGGTATGACTAGACCCTGGCACCCATCCCAGTTCACCGAAACGACGACTGGAGGCGGCGTAGGGGTGATGTTCGACACCTGAACCGCCACACGTCCAGCATCTTCCAGCGACGTAGTGCATTGGTGCTTCCAGCTCACGTCATCGTTCGTCACCCCGTAGAGAATGGGGTCAACTGTCAACTGGGCATTCTGTTCTGAACATGGGATTTCTGATCCAATCATCGAATGCACTCTGACGAACACATCACATGCAGCATGGAGTTGTAGAGGAAAACGGAAGACCACGGGGGCCACGTTCATCCATTTTCCACTTCCATGTGATGTGTTCGCCAGAGTGTATCCATTCCCAGGGCATCCAGGCAAATCACTAACCAGTGGTTCCAGTTCGACTAACACCATAGACCAAACGAATCCCTGGTTCCTTACTACTAGGGGTTTGCCTGGCATGCACTGGGCATGTGCTGTGTTCGCCAGAGTGTATCCCATTGTAACAAGCGAGCTCGTCTCCAGATTGGAACACTTGGAGAGCACCCCAACAAGCGAGACCATGAGACCACGAGAGTTCCGTTGGACGTCGGCCGTAGTTGATCTGGCTACATCCGTCTTCGAGTCATAGATGGCCAGTAAAACAGTTGGTTGGTTGGTTGGTTGGTTGGTTGCTTGAGGGGATACCCCCAAGTGAAGTATACCCACCGGGTTTCTCTGGTACCTAGTATCGACCATCTCTATTCTTCCCGTTCGTGCGGACATCACACTGCATGTCAGGACGAAAGGAGAAGGCTACCGTCCGTCTCGTCCGAAAAGACGGCCGCAAGAAGTCATGGACAAACGGACGTCCCGTCTTACGGCCTGCCATTAATAGGACGTAAAGGCACTTTCCTTGGGGGAACAATTCCTTGGGGAAGATCCATTTGATGGTGGGAATCCCTACGTCGCGCCGCCTCAAAAGTCTTCAGGGCCCACAGGGTCCGCACACCGTGCCGAAGATGGGATGGCCCAAATATACCTGGATCTTCCAACTATGCAACATTTCTGCCTGTTGGCTGGTTTTGGTAGATAAAGAGGCACACATGTTTTAGGGAAGATCCAGGCATCATTTACATCACTGGAACTTCCAGGTCATCCAGACACCCATCCTTTGAGCTGGCTCCAACGTCGCAGGAATCCTTTGCCAAGAAGTTCAAGCCCATCACAACTCTGGCGCCCAACATGCCGGAACGCCCAGGGGGAGGCGAAGGCTGGAACACCTGAACAGATGAAGGGGAGGCGAAGAGTTAGTGCTGGATAGTGAAGCGAAGAGTTATAGTCATAGTTGCAACTTCTTCCGAACTGGAGAGGAATCACTGCAAGCGAAGAAGTCGATATTGTTAAACGGCGCCCAATCGGCAGGAAGAGTTCCTTTTGGAAGCCACTCCCGGTCCAAGCATCCGATTACGTGGATGGCATTGCCCCCGATTGTCGGATGACCCTGAAATTCGATCACCAAACAGGTGGTGCCATCCACTGATGATTTCAGGGAGTGTATCATATACCCTGGGAGTCAAAGACTATAAAAAGAATGGTCTTTAAGGGAACTGAAAGGAAACTTCCTTTACTCCAGCCGGTCAAAATATAGTCTTTGGACTTCTAGGGTATATGCATTCTTCAATTTCTCGCGACTGCGAGTGTAGTTTTGGAAGAAAGAAGTGGAGAGAGATCCCACCTCCAGACACCAAGGACCGCCATGCCGGTCACCAACCGTTCCCGGTGGTTCAATTGTTGAAGGGTTGTGTGCCGCTTAACTTGTTCTTGATAGTTCTTGAGTTTAGAGTCAATTCATTTCCGCTTCGAATGCATGCACTGGAATTCCCACTTAGGGGTTTAAGTCTCTTTTGACATCCTCCCTTTGTCTGGTGTGGGGTACCAATTCTCGAGTTCCTTCTTTTTCGGTGGTTGCTGGGGGCAAGGGCATTTTATCCGGAGATACCTCTTCTCCCTCGAAGGGTTTCTTTTGGAAGAGATGACGTTGCATGTTTTGGTCGAAGCAATCGTGGTTTGGCCTCACCCCGGAAGCTCTTCCCAGTGCACGGTCGCTGACTCTCAGTGACCTGCTGACCCTGAGCTTCTCTTCCCAACGTTAGTGTCAAGACATCTGACGTATCAGACAGATCGCCTGACGTATCATGACGCACATGCACCGGTTTACCCACCGGTCAGACCACAGAACCCCACCGGTCTCTAGCAGAACCCCAAACCTCTCCGTGTCAAACACCGAGGCGTGTCGTTGCACCGCACCGCGCCGTACCACCGTGGCGCACCGCCCAACACGCCCCACCGTGACGTGTGACGTGTCAGCGTGACCTCGACGCCCGAGGTTCGACCGCCCGGGAGCGCAATTGAAGTGGGTGCGGGGACCTGGAGCGGAGCGGCGCTGGGCCGCGGCGACCACCTCGGCGAACTCGGCGAGGTGTCCTCGAGTCCGAGGGCGAACTCGGGGTGAACTCGGGGCGTTCGGTGTGCGGTTCCAGAGGCGAGTCCGCCGAGCAGAGACCGCGGGGTGGCTTTCCAGTCCGAGCAAAGAAACAGAACTCTGCTTGATTCATGGGTGTAATGGGTGTCATGATTCACAATAATACGATAAAATACGATTCGCAATTGTGGCGCGTCCAGATCGCCTATCATGACTGTTTTTTGTGGGCGGGTGGTGAATGTCATTATGTCATATTTACTTCCCAGAGGCTCATGGACCCTCAAACTCCTATATGTTTGAGGTTCAAAAGCCTGGCTGTGAGGGTCAAAACCCTAGCTATGAGGGTCCAATCAGCCTCTGGGTTACATGGATCCTCCCAAATGGGAGCCTAGAATGATGTGTCGTGCCTTGATTGTGAGGCTTGATACGTTTTTTTTTGGCGTGCGTGTCCATCACCTCCAGACGGCAAGGGGTCGGACCCGAATTCGGACTGGAAGGGGTCTGGGGTTTCGAAACCAATCCCGATCGGTTTTGAGGGACCAGGGACCAGTTGGGCTGTGAACTCACGGAGCGTCGACGGGTGGAATCAAAGAGTTTGATGTTCTTAAATGGGCTACCCTCTTGGTTGTGGGACACTTTGGTGACCAGTGCAATTTTTCATTTCATGCAACTCGGCCAGTTGCTTTCCTAGATGCTTTCCTTCATGCCAGAAAATGCGGCAGGTTATTGTCAGTCTTATGTGAATGGAATTATTGCAAAGCCATGGGAGCTGGACCACCGTTCCAATTGACGCCATGGGAGGTGGAAAGGATAATATCATTAAGTTGAGTGGAAAGCCCTCAGTTGAACACTTGAGTACAGCTCAGAAATCCACTTGCTAGATCTTGCTAGTGCATGAGAATGGAGAACCGTGGCGCAATCTCTTTTTGTTGGTCATCCTTAAGCAGACCGTGGCGCATGGGCTTTCCCAAAGTAAAAGAAACCTGCCATGAAATGCACATGAGTCACATGAGTTCACATGAGTTAGTTGTCTATTTGAAGATGATGGCCTTGTAAATTGGGACCCTCAGTGACATTGGCGCGGCATTTGCACCGGTGCAACCAAGCGGTGTCTCTCGTTGACCTCAGGTGGCCAAAGTGCTGCAACGCTATCGAGCACCCAGTGGTGAGCATGAGGCGGAGATTCCCGCGGCCGAAAACCGTGGTCAACAGGAGTAGTTCGAAGCTTTGACTTGGTTGCTTTAGAGGACTTGTCTTCGGGATGTTCATGCATGTGCCCCATCAGATCTTGTGTGCAAAACGGTTGTTTGAAGCAGTTTAGCATTGGCAACTGGTGACGGGCGCTAAGGCTTTAGTCGGTTCTCCGCTTGTGCAAATTGAAGCAACTACACCAGCTGAATCATCAAGCTTTACTATTGAAGAATGCCTGCTAACAAGGAAACGACTCCGCTATGATTTTCCAGCCCGTCCAGAAATTCATTGATCCGATTGAGTAGTAAAGACCAGTTCATTTGTACCAGGATCATCCTGTCTGGGTGTCCTGGCTGGAGTACCCTACCCTACGTAAACAGGTCTCCAGACAGGGCTCGTTGGAAGTGCTAGGTAGTCCATGTGTTTGAAAACTCTTTTCTGGCGGAGGCATTTCTCAATGGATCCCTATGGATTCAGTGAGGTTCATGAGAGATTCCACATAGGATTTGTTGGAGCTTGATGTGCTACCATTTGCTGGATGTTGAATCCAAAGCTTTTGAGGGATGGAGCCCCCCCAAAACTGGTCATGTACATTTTGAGGTCTTGTTATGAAGTAGGCATCCCATTTTTCCAGGCACGCTCTTTGTTCATTGAGGTCCAGCCTTGGTTCACGAACTCCGAAGCTTTTGGTTCACCAGTATTGCATTCCCAGAGGATCCATGGGACAGTAAATATGGCCTACATTCACCACCAATAACCATCAAATGTAGGTGGTATTTGCTATCCCTAGATCGTCTGGGATTGGTTCTCCTACAGGAATCGTTGGTCCATGCCGTTCCATCCGTCCAGCTGGGAGCCGGGAGGCGGAACTCAGCCGTGACTCCGGTGATTGCTGGGCACGACATCGCCTGCGAACAGTCCTGCGATTGCTACTATACCCCAGACACTCCATGGGACTGGAAGATGATATGTCGCCCCATTTGACCCCCCTGGCACCACCCCAACTGATCGGCATTGTAGGCATATATGGCAGTCCCATGGAGTGTTTGGGTACTGCTTCCCTCTGCTTCAGAACGTGAGTCTTTCCCAGTCGCCTCTCCCTCCCTCCGCCGACGTGGACGCGACTCATCTCGCCTCGCCGACGTCGCGGACGGCGGACCTCGCGGACGCCGCGGTGCGACGAGGCGTGGAGTGTGGAGGTGGCGTGGTACGACTACCGAGCTTCTTGGCGCTGCGCGCGACCGTGGGTGGCGTCCGTGGTTGCTCCAGAATTGGAAAGGGAACACTGGAACGGGTCAAAGGAACGGATCGAAATGAAGTTTCCAGATGGGGTTCCATCAGTGCGAAGGCATGTGCCATTCGGGGACCTCGTCCAAGGTAGCATACCTTTTGTGAGCCACGCGAGTGTAAATTTTAATTAGAGGAGGGATGTGCCATTCCAAGGTAGGATAGCTTTTGTGAGCCACGCGGGGGTTAAATGTAAAGGAAGAAGATGCCATTCCAAGGTAGCATACCATTTGTGAGCCACGCGGGGTTAAAATTTAGAGGATGTTTTTTTTGGGGGGGGATTTGTTTTCATTGTTATTTTGTTTTTTGGATTCTGCTTTTGTTGCTTCTGCTGTCTTTTTTGCTTTTGTTGCGTTTCGGTTTTTTGTGTTTTTGTCTTTCTGCTCTTTGCTTTTGTTGCTTTTCTGCTTTGGCAGCTGTTCTCCTTTCTCTTTTTGCTTTTCCAATTGTTTGCTTTCTAACCTTTGGATCTGGTGTGCTGCTAAGGACACGAAATCGCCGTATAATTAGCTAGGTACCACTAAGAAACCTGCTCTATTCCAATGTTTTGCAAAACTATCGAAAAAAATGAAAATCCAAAATTAAAAGTGTACCCGAATTTAGAGCAGGAAGGTGCCATTGCAAGGTAGCATACCTTTTGTGATCCCGCGGTAGCATACCCTTTTGTGAGCCACGCAAGTGTAAAATTTAGAGGAGGAATGTGCCATTCCAAGGTAGGATAGCTTTTGTGAGCCACGCGGGGGTTAAATTTAGAGCAGGAAGGCTTCCGACGAGCAAAGGAATATGGATTGGCTCGTTTTCAGCAAAAGGCGTCAAAGGACAAATAGTTGAATTTGACCAATGCTTCCTATATTTTGGCGGTCTGACAGGTCAACCCTCAACTTGTTGTTGTCAGTATGCAGTGAGGCCCAAGCAATGGAGGGGTTGCTGAGTTCTAGTGTGCCTTCTGATCGCCTAGTGTTCGAGGAGCAGGCTGGCAGAGGCATTTTCAGCCCGACCGGCAAAGGGCGCAGTGGGACGAACAGTTTGCCCCTCGCTCAGCACCAGAGCCGCCTGACGGAGAAGTGCTTCGGTTTCGCGACATCGACGATTTTCAGCGTGCTGCAAGTCCTTGAAGCGTTTGAGCAAGCGCTTCACAGCGCTACATATGTTGCTGTGCAGAAGCCCAACTACATCAAAGCTACGCTCCAAGAGGCGAAGATTCTGAGCCGCAGCCGAGATGCTGTTGGGAGACGAGGAAGCAGGTATTGAAGCTGTAAGGGCCATTCCAAGGTAGCATGCCTTTTGTGAGGCACATGGGGGTTAATTTTAGAGGAGGAAGGTGCCATTCAAGGTGGCATACCTTTTGTAAGCCACGCGGGGGTTAAAATTAGAAGAGGAAGGTGCCCTTCCAAAGGTAGCATAGCTGGTGAGCCACGCGAGTGTAAATTTTAGAGGAGGAAGGTGCCATTCCAAGGTAGGATAGCTTTTGTGAGCCATTCCAAGGTAGCATACCTTTTGTGAGCCACGTGGGGGTATATTTTATAGAGGATCTCTTCATGATGAGTCCACCTGAGTTTGATGAGAAATGTTACGTTGAAATTGAATGCTGTAAAGCTTTCTCGCCAGAATCGATGAGGCAGCCATTGTCCAGCGAAGATGGGCGATCATCCAGCTGACCTGGCGTCGCGCGACGCGCTTTTTTGTGAAGGCGAGCAAAGTGACTGCGAGGCAGTAGCGTATTGTGCAATATGTTGGGTTTGTACATAATAGGCAGCCAACAACTGGGTAGCTGCAGTGGCGGCTGCAATCACGGAGGTCTTTTTGCCGTCTTCAAGTGCCAGCGGCACGGGCTTCAAATTGTTGCAGATCCGACTGTGGATTTACTGAGGGAAGTCGGCCGGCTGTCCCAGAGAGAGTTTCGTCAGAACATTGGTTGGGGCCGCAATGTGCGAGGGAAGATTTATGCCCTCACAAAGGACACGGTGTTTGCTGGCTTTGCGCAGGCTTGGGCAGGGGGCGGTGGATTGTGGATCGAAAAGCTGGCCATTGAAGTGAGCTTCCGACGCTGCGGGTTGTGTCGCGGATTCTTGGAACTGTTGGCGCAGCACGCTACGGGCGAGAACTTCTTGTCCAACAGCTGCTGGAAGCGGCAGAAGACCTTCTGCAAAAGACAGACGCGGGTCAGGAGTTTTTACTCTGCGAGATCAGTAAGATCATCGACTTTGTCATGCCCCGGGATAACATGCATGCAGCCCACCTACGAGATTTGGAGTCTTGAAGCGCAGGATACCACCCTGGAAGAGGGCCTGGAGGTGGATTGGTGGCGACTACCATGGAAGGAAGGTGCCCATTGGACATGGGATCCAGCGCGGGTGCCACGGACCAAGAGTCCACACAGGCAGAGCCAACGCCTGCTGTGGCCCCCCGTGCGCCGTCGGGTGTATCTTCCTCTGTCAACCAACGTTTACTCCGCCAGGTTCAGAAACCGCTGGCCTCGCGGAGGAGGATGAGCAACAGCCTGAAGTTGCGGCCTCAGAGACCAATCCAATTGAGCCTTCGATTAACGCCATCCACGAGTTTTCCATTGCAGCTGAGGTCCCAGAGGGAACCGCTGCTTTGTGCAGAGACTCTGCGAATGCCCGTTCGTTAGGCCCTAATAACGCCCAAGCGCAAGAGGTTGATCAAGGGTTCGACGCCTTTGCACTCCTCCGTCCGCCAAAGGACGAGCCTAAAGCAGAGCTTGAGGAGCAAGAGTCCCACGTACTCCCCTCGACCGATGCTGCAGGACTTCCACCACTGTCTTCGCACCACATCAATGGCAAGAGGGGCTGCAATCTTGTGAGGAACCTGCAGTGCCAGCACAGGGAGGCGCATAGACGGCACCACGCAAGGATGAGGAGGGCGGTGGGATTTGGGAGGAGTCAGGGTGAGGGACGGCCAGAGAAGGAGGTGAACTGCAGGGTGAGAGGAACAGGCCTACTGTGCTTTGCCAGACAGGCGCCAACAGACCTGCAATGCTTGAAAAAAGTCTTTAGCTTGCGAGCTTGGGGTCAAACAACACCACATGACTTGGCTTATAGTCCACCACCCCCGAAAAATATGTTGCCCTCATGAACGATCGTTGGCTTGCTGCTTTCATGAACACAACTGGGAGATGATCCAAGTGGTTGCCCAAGTTCTACCCCACCGCGTCGCAAAATGGTCCACAGTTCAAGAATGCCCTAGCCCGGAAGAATTCAAGAAACTTTGTCACGAGAAGTGGAACTCATTCCTTCGGGAAGGCCATGCGTTGAAGAAATGCAATTTGAAGGCTTACTCCTGAATGTGTTTGGCAGAAACAAGCAGTTTGTACGAGACTTCCTCCAAAACTCATGCGCCAAGCCTGGAAACCGAACGTTTCATATGAGACTTTCTCCAAAATTCCCGCGTCAAAGTCTCCAAAACGATTATTTTTGTACAGGACTTCCTTTAAAAGTGAGGCGGGAAGCATCGGAGGGACTGGTGACGACAGCAGATGAGGGGAGACAAACTTGAACAAATTTTCGTTATATTGAAACTTAAACATAAAATGTCAAGAAAACACAATAAACCATGGACAGACATACGAAAAAACAAGGGGTCCAGCCTGGAATTCCGGTCCCTAACAGAACCAAATGCGTTGTTCCATTGTTCCAATATCGAAAGATCCATGTGTATCTGGTTGGGACTGGATTTCCAGGAGTTTGTGCCTTATAGATGTCCAACCCTGCATGACAGATGTCGCAGTTTGGACCGCGATAACTGACCATGGCCCTAGGCTTCTTGGGCCCATCATTGATTTAATGGTCGACCTACCTACCGAACCATTGTTTTCTTAAGGATGTACGCACCACACAACCAGGTCTTTCCCATTAATTTTCATGGTCGAACTGGTATACTAAAAACATCATGTTCTTCATGGCCGCCATGGTTTTCCTTTTGAGGAACGCTCTCCAAGCTGGGCAACTGAGACTCATGCACTCCAGTGATCACTCACTGCGTCGGATGACCATGAAAAACATGAAATCAGGTGGGTTTTCACGACTCACTCAATGATGAATTCTAGGGAGTAAACAGTAAAAATATAGTCTATCCACCCGGCTAAGTTTTTTTGCCAATTCTTTGGGGACCTCGGTGATTTTGCTATGTCAAGATCAGGGGCTGACAACCAATGGGTATAGTATAAGTTTGTGTAGAAACATGTAAAACATGCTACTCATTTCACTACTAGATTCATCTAAATTCCCTTTTGCCGGTGATCACAGGATATCATAGGGGTGCTTCCCTACTGTGTTTGTAGACGGCACCACTGCGGAGCTTAAAACCCACCTGGAATGGACATATAAATCAACCCGCATGTGCGCCCCCAAACCATGGAACCCCTCTGTGACACAGGATTTCAAGGAGCTCCAAGGTCCTTGTTGACTAAATGACTATAATTACCCTGCAAGTCAACGACTATACAAAGAATGGTCTTTATGGGATCTGAAAGGGAATTTCCTTTACTACTCAGGGAAAGTATAGTCTTTGGACTTCCAGGGTATAGACCACCGTCTTCTCACTGGGCCTTCGCCCCAAACCAACCTTCTCCCGACGTCTTACCGGCATCAACGAGGTCCAGAGACACGAAGACTCGGAACGGCTGGTGGAGATGCGCCACACTCAGCGGTGCGACGACGAGAGACGTCGCCGATGCGCCACGACGTGACGTGGGTGTGATGTGGACATCCCGGGCACCTCCGGTGCCGTGAGCGATCGGCACACCGGTGCGGACGTGACGGTTTCTGTTCTTTTTTTCGATGCCTGCGATTCCGCCACATGTGGGGTGGGATTGATTTGGGTGAAGGTGGGCTTGCAGGGAGACAGAAGATGTTGCCAAGCGGAACAAAGAAGCGGGCCGGTGAGCTTCGCAGCAGTTCCCAAGAATTGATGGACGTGGGTTCCACCTTTGAAGGGCGACATGGAGAGTCGAACGGACAAGACTCCGGGCAACGATCCAACACTTGCATGTGCTGCGTACTGTAATGAAGTATTCATGTATAAATAGTAGCACTGTATATACCAGGATCATCCAATGGGTGTCCAATAAACTACCCTACCCTACTTACAGGTTTCTAGACAGGGCACCCGTTGGAAGTGCTAGGTACTTTCATTTCTGTGATGAATATTACTGTACTGTTCGTTTCAGTGTGCTGTTTGTGATCAAACCAATCAGCCCTTTGCAACCACTATCATGGCGGTTGGAATCGTGGCGTAAATGTAAATTGTTCTTTTATGATGACAAACTGTAGTGATGGGACGTTCAATTTTTGGCCGGGAGTTTGCTTGGAGGTATTGAACTCTACAACATGCTATGCTGATCAAATGGGACAAAACTTAGCAAATATGATATAACAGAATTCAGAAAACACCAGTCAAGGTAGTTCCCTCCCTGCTCCAATACACATTTGGAAGTCCATGTGAATCTTGACATCACTTCCAACCACAGTTTCATATCAGCCTAAAGATTGCATGTATTACAGGCCATCACTTCCAACAACGAGGCCCAAGTGAAGGGCTACCACTTGCCTCCATGGCCGCTCCGCTCCGCTCAACGCTCGGGACGGCGGTCGGTCGAAGCGCCCGAGGTTGGACGATGTGAGGAGTACGCCGACCGATACACCTAGGCAACCAGGTGCGGAAGCCTCCATGTGGGGAAGTGATGAGAGGCTGAAGCGTTTGCAGGTGGAAGTGATGGGAGGACAGAGGAAGCCTGATCCGATTAGAGCTGTTAGTAAGAGGCAGAACAAAAAGAACAGCTAAATCACCATGTCAATGTAATTCAAGGCCTGCAACCGAACCATCATCATGTGACTAATCAGGATAGACCCCAAGATTCTACCCAATGTATTGGGCAAGGCTTTCGGAGAAAGGCCCCCAAGAAAGCAACAACGGACCCCCAAAGAAAGCGAGCTGAAGAGAAACAGAAAAGAGAATTGATTGGAGGATGGGGTTCTCCCGAACAAAAAAGAGGGAGGCTGAGGGAGTCCCGTCGTGTTGAAACGCATCCTTTTCAGATGGCCGTAGCGAAAACAAAGTCAAACCCTAGGTGGCCTTTTTACCACTGGGTTTGGGTCACTGATTAAATCTCTGGAGGTGGCCTCCCTCCATTGGTCCCCCCCTCCTGCATGAACCCCTGCAGGCCTGAGTTTTGGCCACCAATGCCTCCGGCCAGTCGACGCGCCCCGTGCGTGCGAAGCCACGCGAACCTCCCGCGCCAGTCGACAACATCCCAGCGCTGCTGGGGCACGAGGAGAATGAGAACCCAGACGATGCGGTGTCCACAGGTGTGGCCGCGCGACTGATCTGGGCCTGGCACTGGCACGCCGCGTGACTGGTCACCGCGTGACTGAACAGTTTTGAACGCATGACTGGGGGTCTGGAGAAACACATGACTCAGGGGTTTTCGTGTTTTTGGATTTCCCTTGGGTCCTATGGAGCTGGATCATCCAGATGCCACTGATTGATCCAGGATGTGAACCCGCGTGGAGTCCGTGGAGAGTTTTCTCGCTCAAGCGAAGGGTGCAGGATGTTCCGCGGCCAGTTCAAACAACTACACCCACTACACCCTGGAAAATTAACATGGAACCTGAAAACCACTCCGTAGTTGTAGAGGAACAAACAAAATATATAATAGTCTTCCAAAGTTCCATGTTGCAGGTTTCATGTGGGTTAATTTACTCGGGTGTAATTGGACCTTCCCATCGTCGTGAGGAAATCAAGCGGCTGGCTGACATGTTACTCCTCAAGCTCTCGATCTGTCATACTCCGATCGTGTGGATGAAAGGGTCCGATTTTGGCGTCATAATTTCTTCCCCCGAAGAAAGCGTCTTATCCACACAGGGAGTACTTGCAGGTAATAGATCCACCTGGTTGGTATTGATACCATACATCATTTCAGCAGTTACACAAATTCTTACCCAGCACTTGAGGTCCACCTGAGAGGAATTGATTCCTCAGAACCAACACCGTGGACGGATGAAGAAACCAACGACCACGGGTTCTGGGACGCGTTTCGATGACGCCCGGGGGTGAGGGGGTTTCAGATGAGGTGCCCGCGGCTCCGAAGGATGGTGCGTTGCACACATGGCCTAGGGGCAATGACACTATGACTATGACAATATATCTAGATAACTATAGCGTAAACGTTTTGTATCAAAACTCAAGAGAACCCATTTTGCTCCCACCAGTTCTTCATCCCAAATTCCTTCTCCCCGGAGCTTGGTCTTCTCCGAAGGGTGTTGGGGATAAAAACCGTGTGGAGACCGAGGACCTCAGAGTAAGATAGAGTAAGCAGGACGTGTGGACACACCGCCGCATCGGGTCCGCGGCCGTCTCTGAGTCCTCAAGTTTGTATCGAGGATGCGCATGCGGATGGATGCTTGACCCGGGAGTAGATTCGGAGATTGACCTATGCCAGCTAGGCGAAACAAGGAGTTGATTTCGTAGTTAGCTATCATAGTTTGTAGTGAGTATATATTCCAATTAATGTATAGTGTATCATGCACAAACTAGCTTATTATATTTGCATGGATATCATGTTCATATATGTCCATCCTTGGATTGTTACGGAAGAGCTGATCGAGTCTACTTCTGGGTCTAATAGGAGTTGCCTACCAAAAGTTGCGAATCAATTCAGGACCCCGCGCTCACCCGCGTCCGGCCGCGATCGTACGCATCCATCGCCGGGATCGTCGCGGGACCGTCGTGTGGATCGATGCGGGCCCGCCTTTTGTTGGATCGATGTAGATCCTGTGCGGGATGTTCTCGATGTTGGGTGCAGCCGATGCGATTTTGAGTGTGGGAGAGGGCAACAGGCCAACAAACTATAGAGGGACTGGAGGGCACCCTACATTGGACTAATGAAGATCAGGGAGACCTCGCACATTGATGTGCTTGCAAGATGGCACTTTCGAAGCCGCCCTTGCAAGATGGGACCCCTTGGTGAGAAAGAGAAGGGACGTCTCCACAGTTGATTGTAGAGTATGCAGAACCCAGGGCATCCCAGGCAGCTCCGTCGCTGGATTCCCGTTCCAGGCAACGACGACCAAAGCCATAGACCCAAGGGCGGGCCCCCTAGTTCCGTGGTTCCTACTCGTGGCTTCCCGGGGATCCACTGAGGGAATCCTGAAGGTCTTTCGGTGGAACTTCTTTTGAAGGTCTTTCGTCCGAAGTTCAACTTATTGGATGAAAGACCGAACTGTTCAATTGGTTATATCCGAAGTTCATCGAATTATCTTTCGCACATCTTCAACTTCTTCCGTCCCAAATGGTCATCCAACCCGGAAATGGTGAGTTTTCGTCCTGAAAAAACTGGCCGTTCATCCAGCCTACTTACACACAGGAAGTAACACTTTGGTTGTTCGCAGCATTAGCACTGCTTCAGCCCGTCCAGCTCGAGAGCTGGTCGGCGGCATAGGTGATTTTCAGCAACCAAACCTACATAACAATGTCTCCAATCACGGTACTTGGATCCTTAATATAGAATACGATAATACTCCCGGCTAATACGGTGATGTTCATCAACCGTCCAGTTCGGTTCGAGGGACTAATTCGGTCGACCGGAAACGGACGGGCGGACTCGAATCGGTCTGTCTCCGTCTCCGCAAACAGTGGGGTGTCCTTTGGTCCCCAAGTGAGTGGAGTAGCTGGGCACCCCTAACCTCCATGGATCGCACCGCTTTGTGGCTGCTGGATCATGAAAGAAGTTTGGAGTACTCAGCGATCTCTGGAACCTTCCAATCGTGCGTTTGAAAACACGCTCAAGAGCTACGTGAAACAGCTACGCTGAAACAAGCCTATGAAGCAAGGGGTATACCTTGTTCCTTGGCAGTGCTATGCTGAAGGGAAAACATCGCCCCCCATAGAGGTGAACGCTTTGTTGATTGAGATGCAGGTCCACCCAGTCCTCGTCTGACGTCCAGTCCTCTTCTTTGTTGAGAATCGCTCTCGAGGGACCCAATGTATAGATAGAACGTGGAAGTAGACATCGAAGGGGTCTTCCCCATTCTCCAGCCCACTTGATTCGGAGGGCATGTCCTCATTTGGATCTCATAGATCCCAGTCAAAGTTGGCTTCCAACATGGATGCAAATATCACGGAACCTCATAGATCCTATACTTGCCGTTCTCCACTCATATCCACGACACCGCAAGAGAGACAGACCGCCGTCAGACAGAGCTCGCAGGATGATGACAGGAGTCGGACTGGCTTCAGTTGTTCTAAAGCCGCCTGGCAGTCAACGGTCGCGGTCCGCGAAACTTCGTCGCAGACCCGCGCGCTGGACGTGGCGAAAAAGTACACGAGGTCGGCGGCGCTGCTTTCGGAAGTCCTCTCAAGAAAGCGGCTGCTGTTGGGGAAGGAGGTTGCCTCCAAAACCCCGCCACAGCCAAAAAAGGAGGTCACCCCCCGAGTAGACAGATGTTTTTTTTCGGCCGGAGGGGTCGACCTCAGACCATCCATCACATGGAAGATTTGTCCCACATGGACCCCTTAAAACATCTTAAGAGTCACACCCATCCAGTCCGCATGGCATCTTCCAGTCCCGACTACCCAAACACGACCCATGGGACTGCTGGACTGCCAATTGACCCCCCTGGCACCACCCCTGGCCGTTTTGACAGTCCGGCGGTCGTGTCTGGGCAACCCGGGACTCTCCCCGTTTTCGCCGTTCCCGCCGTTCCGACACAGGCCACAAGGCTGCGGCTACACGTGCCCTGGTGGACGTGCGGGAAGGAGTTTTGATGAGTTTTGGGGTAGCCATGGTCAGTGAACAGCATGGCAAAGTTAGGGTGGTTCTTTTTTGACACCTCTTGACCATGTGACCACAATCCTTTGAAACAGATGGATCCATGTTGTTTTTACTTCCTGGACCATGTTAACGTTGAGTCTGAGTTATCTCTTCCAAACAAGACTCCCTTCGGCTCAGCATTGTGCGAAAGTTGCAGGATGTTTCAGCTGATATGGTCCCTGCAGATCGTGACTTCGGAGTGTAGTCGTTACTTCTCCTGTTCGTCACTCTGTAGACCTTCGAAGTTGAATCAGACGACGGGAAACGGCCTGGAACCCGGATTTCACGTGTGACACGAACAGGTACACCTGGAGTCTCAGTTCGTACCCCGAGTCTCCAAGTATATATTTGTTTTATTTTGTTTTTATAGGGTCACGTGAGTCACGTCCCATTTTCCAAGATACGAACTGGAGGGTCCAGGTCTACGTCTACGTCTGCTCAGAATTCTTGCCGGCCGGAAGCAGCACCGATGTTGCAAGAGGTTTACGCCGTCCTGCGACCAAACGGTCAGCTAATGGCCCATGGGTGCCAATGAAGCTCATTTGAAGTTCACTGACATGGACGGCCGATGTCAGATTCGGAGAAAGAAGGTTTATAATGTTATATAGTCAGGAACCTTGAGAAAGGCGTTAAGATTGAAAGTCGTCACGTGATGGATCAATGAATTGTGCCATTTCCAGACACGACTCATGGGACTGCCATAGGATCAGGCCAGGGGTGGTTGAAGTCGGGGTCAATGTATGGAGCAGCTGCCAGTCCCATGGGCCGTGTTTGGGATTTCAGATTCAGTTCGATCGGTTGGATTCCGTTTCATCGAGTCACCAGCCACCGGCCGGCTCGGACGGACTGGCTCGGCGGTCCGCTGAGGTCTGCTTCCCCCATGTCCGAAACGGAGACGAAGGCCGAAGCTGAGCCGTTTCCGCCGCGTGGGAAGGGGAACGCACCGAAAACAAAGGGCTGAAAGCCGCAACGCCGCTGGGGGAAGTCCTCGTATTGGGAATCCCAAAGGTCTTAGATGGTCTTGGTCTTATAGTGATCTCCAGAGGTCACTTGCTGTAAAGTTTTTTAAGCCTGATTGAATGGATGTTTTTGTACCGGAATTCCCTACGCAGCGTTTGTTGAACCTTGTTTTCGTGCTTCGTGGTAGCTTTAGACAGCACACCACCCTCACGTGGCAGGATATAGGTTCTACGATGATGGTTGTATGATACTTCTTCTGAATCCAGGAGAATTGGCATTGGCTGCTAGATCGTTTTGCACCAACTGTCTTCTCACCAACCTTCTTCATATAGATAGACCCGTTTGGAATTGGCTTTGGCTGCTACCATGAGCCACTCTTCTTTGGGTCTCCTGCAGTTCCTGCTGCACCTTGCTGTTGGAGGTCCGTGTCCAGCCGAAAACCAGAGGAATCGCGCATTGCAGTGACTAATGATAGTTGAAAGTGACATGAGTAAACCAGCTGGGACAAAGAGCCAAGCACGCCCTCGCTGGTGTTTT